TTACAAATTTGGCCACATGCCCACAGAGTCTTATTTATTCGGAAGGTGGGGAAGGGAATCTGGAATTTAATAAGCATCCCTGGAGAGTCTGATGTAGCTGGCCCTGGGCTGCCAGAGGACCCCTGCTGCAACTGACACCTGTGATTCTGTGCTTACACCTGGGATCCCACCAGCTCTGGGAAGCATCTCCTTGTTAGCTTGGCCTGTCCTTTGCGTGCACATTGTACTCATTCCCGACTTCCCCTGGAGTGCCGAGTCTCCCTGGGCTGCTGAGAATGGCTCACAGTTCCCCACAGGCAGGCCCTATTACTTGCCCTCCACTTCTCAAAACCTCTTACCTTCTTCCTCCTCCCAGTCTGGCTCTTCAGAGATGCTTTGTTCTGCCCGCTGCTTCAGGGCATCCCTCCGGGCCTGCTCCTAAGTGTGGGGAACAGATGGCCAAGAGCAGTCAGGGTGCCCCTTCCCAGTCCTGACCCAGAATTCTTGGTACACTATACCCCTACTACCCTCAAAAAAATCCAGCTGCTTTCCCAGGGCTGAGCGGAGCAGCTCCTGGGCTGGGCTGGCATACCTGCTCAAGTTGATGGACTTTATAGAAATACCGATGCCAGAATTCTGAATGGGATACAGCTGCTGGGACCTGGAGGGAGGAGACAAGAGATGAGACCTGTGAAAGTGGTGTGTGGAGTCTGCACACCCAGCTTATCATCCTGTTTCTAGCCGCTCTGGGTTTCAGATGGCTAAGTGGCTAAACAGTGATTCCACCCTTACCCCCGCCGCAGGCCCACTTTCCTGGCCCCATTAGGCTGTGCTGGCCCATCCATGTCTTACCACCACCCAGAAACCTGTAATTAGCTTCCCCCACACAGATTCTTAGCTCAGCACTTGGCCGGTCTGGCTCTCCAGGGTGACTCTCTGAGCCAGATGACTCCACAACTCTGGCCATGTTGTTCCCTCTTCCCCACACCTCAAGCCTGGAGTTGCTGAGTTTCTGTCAGCTGGGCCCTCACCATCTTGGTGTAGAGGGCCCGGATGGAGGGGCTGCCTACGAGGAGATCTGAGATCTCTCCCTTCTTCTCCTCCAAGCAGAACTGGGAAAGCCAGGAGTCAAACAATTCCGGGGGCCCTGCAGAGGGACAGACACTGACAGTCAGTTCTCTGGGTTTAGGAAAAGAACACTGGGCCTGAAGAAAACACATCTATGCCTAGACATAGACAATGAGAAAAAGACATTTCTTTCAAAGCCATTTTGTCCAAGGGGGTGCAGGGTAGGCCGGATGAAGACATGGGTGGGTCTCAGTGTACCAGGGCATGGCCCCTAAGGATCTCCATCCAGGACTGCAGTCTTGTTTCTCGTATGCCCCCTGGCTTTTTAGTCCACTGCACCTGTCTCCAGAATCCCCTCCTTTCTGTAACAGCTGTTCTCAGGTTACTGGGGAGTCCAAGGTGCCTCCTCATGTGACTATCCCATTGCTGACCCTGGCAACCACTGCCTGCCTTTGGAAGCTCCCTCTGCTCCCCCACTTCTCCAGTTCTTTCTGAGTCTTCAATGGACTCCTCTATTGCTCTCTCCCTCTATTGCTCTCTACTCTTCTATCTCTTCTTTTCGTTTTCTCCCTTAAGAGAACTTCTACTAAACCACAGTTTCCCCCTCTACTTCCTATTGACAATTCCTGTCTCTCTGCAGCCCCAGCTACTTGGGTGTCCCCTGGACACACCCCCCACAGGTGCAGAAGCCCAATATACACTTTTTTCCCCTCCCCAACCCGTCCTACCAAGTTACCCACCAGAAATCTGGGGGCCACCCTAGACTCCTGCCTCATCCAGTTTAACTGGAACCCACTTCTAGTGTTTCTCAATATGCACACATTTCTCTTCACTACCTGTCACGTCCAAGCTCCCGGCCTTCTCTCTGGCATGGGGTTTGCCACCCAGCTCCTAATCATTCTGCCTGTTTCCTTTGTCTATTTCATCCTTCATAAAATATGCAAAATCTGATCATATCAGGTTCCAAAACCCTTTAATTGTTCTCTAAAGGAGGACTTTTTAAACTAAGGTCCAAAAAGGGCCGGCACAGGGTCAAAAAATTCCCATAATAGCATATAATTTCTGTGGAGAGAAGGTTTGACATTTTCAACCCATTTTTTTTTTAAGGCTTTTGTGATGAAAAGAAAGGTTAAGAACCACTATCCTAGCCTTTTAGGACAAAACACAAACCATGAAACCTGGCACCCAAAGCCCTTCCAATCTGACCCCCACAGGCAGCCCTCACCAGGCCCATTCCTTCACACGTGCTCTTTAACCCCGTCTCCCAAATGGCTGGGGGCTCCCTATTCTTTTGGGAGCTTCAGATGGTCTGTTGCCTTTGCTTCAACTCCTTCCCTGCTTCTAAAAGTAAAATCAGTTTAATTCTAATTCATCCTTAAGAACCTCACTCAGGGCCTCCCCTGGTGGCGCAGTGGTTGAGTGCTGTGTTGCGAGGCTGTCTGTAGCGCCAGTTCAATCCCCGGCCACCGGCAAGGGTCCCACCAAAAAAAAAAAAAAAAAAGAACCTCACTCAAGTGTCACATCCCCGGGTGCCAGCCATCTGAGCACGCACTCTCTGAGCAGTCACTCCATTTTCGCCTGCCTCTTTCTTACTAGCGTTTCCTGTTTCTCTCCTAAGAGCAGGTTCATGGAGGTCTAGACAGGGTTGTGGTTAGCAAACAGGTATAGAAGGGAATGTAGGCAGGGCAGCAGGGCTGGGGTGAGGTGGAGCTGAGGAGGAGGGGCCAGAGGAGCAAAGCCTCTGCAAACCAGAAGGAAGACAGCCGAGGCCACGGAGGGGAGGTGTAAAGTATATGCTGGCTCCACTGTGGTCCCTCTACACAGGGGCTGCCTGTCCACTGGGACAAACAGGGTATCAGTTCAGATCTCCTACTGCACCTGTCTCGCTAGCCTTCCCCACCTCCCTACTGTGCTACTCCTCACCATCTGGTTCATTGCAGTAGGTTGCGGGGTCAGACTGCAGGCAATAAAGGCGGGCCTGTAAGAGAAGAGAGAACAGAAATTCTGAGGTACTAGACAGAAAACACCCCCTCTCTGCAGGAATATGCAGCTTCTTCCCTATCACAACCTCTGGGCACTTGTCATTTAACACTGTGGCTAGGGACTGGAGCACTGGCCTAGGAGTTGAGAACTGGTGCTTCAAGAAAAAAGGTCTTTCACCCAGTACTCCGCCCTTGGGAACTAAGAAAACACAGTGTAAGCAGGCTACAAAATTACACCTATAAAATGCTTTTGAACTATGTGATATCTGAAAAATACTAGTGCAAACTTACTAGTAAAATCCAGATTTACAGGCAAATTTTGAAATAATGCAACTCCCTCTTAAAACTATTCATCAAGAATTTCTTAATTTCACTGCCAGTCTGGGAAGTGAACCATAAGCTGTGTTCCCACTAGGGCCGCAGGGACGGCAAACTTTAGCTGGTAAACAGAAGGCCCCACCTGCCTTCCTCAATATGAAGCGTGGGCTGGTGTCTGCATCAGAATTCTCATCAGTGGGTCTGGTGATTCACTGTCGTTAAACTTTTAAATCCTATAATTTAAAAAATTATAAAATTCCACTAAAATGTTCACTAAATGGTGGTGCCAATGAAAAATCAGTACATTTGGAATGGAAATTCGATGTGGTAGAACGCTATGTAGAAGGCCTAACTGTTATGACACCACACTGAATTTTGGAGAAAACACTCCAGACTATGAGAAGCAACAATGAGAAAATAAAATGAGGCAATAATATATCTCCATGGCTGTTCATTTAAGTGCTTTAAAGATACCCTCTTCCTGTATATTTATTTCTATTGGAAATTAGAGTAAAATAATCCAAATGTGGAGATCATGCCTATACAATGCTGGTAGATGCTGTAGCATCCATTGTTCTGGTTGAAAGAGGAATGAAATCCAAATGTACACCACCAGGGAAATGACTAATTACATTATGCTATATTCACTTCCAAGAATTTCAAGACATTAAAAATGATGACAATTAGGGAAAATGATAATAGTTTATTATAAATTTTTTTAAAGCAGGTTACAAAATGCACATATAAAGTACCTTTTTTTGGTTAAAAAGAAAAAAAACTATCATTAGTAGTTGCATACAAAAAGGAACTAAAGATTATATGCCCAAAAAAAAATCTTGTGGTTTTCTCTGGCTGGTGGGATTATGGGTTTAGAAACAATGATTTCTTTCTTATTCATGTTCCCCAGTTTAGTTATCTACAGTAGTGCCCCTTATCCAAGGTCTCACTTACCATGCTTTCAGGTACTCGTGGTCAACTGTGAAATATGCTGTACAATTAGATATTTTGAGAGCGAAAGAGGCCACATCTGCCTAACTTTTACTACAGCATATTGTTACTCTATTTTATTATTATGATTGTTTTTTTTTTTTTTTTTTTTTTTTTTTAAAGATTTATTTATACAAGCACTGGGTACAGTCAGAAGTACGGGAGGGTGAGAGAATTCACCAGAGCCAGAGCAGGGAACAGAACAGGCAGACTGACGAAGTACACTGCTGAGGGGAGCAGCGGGTGAGACAGGAGAGGTCTGCGCGCCATGTGGGACCCTCGCTGGTGGGGGCGGTGGGGGATCGAACCGGTGCTGCAGAAGCTGTGGCAGCTTTGCAGCCCAGCACTCAACCGCTGTGCCACCGGGGGAGGCCCTATTATGATTGTTAATCTCTGTGTGTAATTTGTATATTAAATTAAATTGTATATAGGGAGGTATATTAGGGAAAAACATAGAATACATAGGGTTTGGTACTATCTGCTGCTTTCAGGCATCTACTGGGGGTCTTGCAAGGTAGCCCTTGCAAATATGGGGAGATTACTGTGTTTTTGAGCCTGAACACACATAGCTTTTGTGAGCACAGGTTGGAAGCTAAAGCCAGTTTGGGGCAAGGGGGGGGTGGGGTGGATGGAGAGTTACTAATGAATACCTTGGTACCATCGTAGGGCTCTGCTGTGCCAGAGGGTGTGCCCATCAGGGTGATAACGTCACAGTCGATGGTTTTGTCTGGCGAGGGAGCAAAGGTGTCAGAGATCACCCCTAGGAAGTCAGACAACCCCTTCTTCATTTTCTCCGTCGCCCCCGAGGAGCCTTCAGTCTGCAGAGAGAAGCCAGCAGAAGAAGCAAGTGGCCCAGGAGCAGGTTGCAATCTGGGGTATGGGGTAGGAAGGGGTAAAGCATCAGGGGCAATAGGGTACTGTGTATGTGGCTCCATGGAAGTGCTTATAATCTTCCAGCCTATCTCTGGGGCTGGAGAAGGAGAGCGGTGCAGGGAGGAGTGTGGAGCAGGGTCACAGTAGGCCTGTGCCAGTGAGAACAGAGTTCTTTGACTAGCAGTTTCATTGAAATTTCAAGGCCAGTCAGGCTCATCAAAAATTGGCAGCAAGGATCTATGCCACAGACATTCAGTGGGGAAAAAGGACTGTAGGTAGAGTGGTGGGAAAGGTAAACTAGCTTTAGAGTCAAATTTGGATTTGAATCCCAGCTCTACCACTTGTTGGTTGTAAGACCTATACTCGCTCTGATTTTCAGTTTCCTAACTGTAAATATAGCTACACATTATTCTTTCACAGGGTTACTGTGAATATGAAAAGAGACAGGGCATAGTGCCTGGCGCAGAGCAAACATTTAATAAGTAGCAGTAGTGTAAAATTACAATTTCATCATTATTGTGCAGGAAGTAGACTATTTTATAGAAAAACTGGCAAAATATGGGCAAGATAAGAACAAGTAGTTTTGCCTAGAGGCAAACCTAGCAACAGAGAGCCAAGTGGGACACCAAGCTTGAGTCACGCTGGTCAGAATATTGTTGAGCAAGTAGGGGTAGGATGCTGAGATAAGGCCAAGCTTGAAACCTTGTGGAAAAGTAGTATTTATTGCTGACTAGGCTGCCCAGGCATTTTATTTTATGTTTTATTATGTTTTTTTTTTTAATATTTAAAGGGCAGGTTTATTAGGTAAAAGTAAAGTACACTTGCATAGACACAAGCGGGCAGGAAGAGCTGCCCCAGAAGGAACAGGGTTGCTAAGAGAGTCCTGCATGGTTGCAGGTGGGTGGCCTTGACGGGTCATGGGGAGGTAGGAAGGCTGCTTCCCTGCAGAAGGAGAGAGTTGGTGAAAAAAGGCACCTGCATAGTCACAGGTGGGCAGTGGGATTGCTGTTGCCCAGGCATTTTAAACCTAGAACCTACGTTAGTGCCTGGCACACGCTGGCACAGGTAGTCATGTTGTTGAGTGGGGGGAAAAAAAAGGAATAAATGCAAGAAACAAGTGGTGTCTTGCTAGTGGCTGGACTTATAGCAATTCAGCAGCATTACTACTTGTCATCTATGCTCATCAGCAGCTGTGGTTCACAGGCAGACAGTCTTTTCTAAGAAAAATCAACAGTAAAAAACGACAAAACATGGTTTTCAAAACATGCTTCTAATCACAAGACAGTTGATTCAGCTGATGATCAAATGATGAAACCGCAATCTGTTCCAATGCTAAAGGAGAAACTAGGAACACAAACGAGTATATTGTACTTCATCAGAGACTGGAGATTTGCAGGGATGTCTTTGACCATACAGAATTTTCTCTTTTCACAGAGACTTTAGAATCTAATTTCCATCTCACAAGAGAATTTCACATACATCTCTGATAAATAAAAACAGGGCCAGTAAGAATAAAGTTGGCACAACCTTTCTGGAGGGTAGTTTTACAACAGATATTTAAAGGCCTAAAATAGTACTCAACCTATACTCCCTTCTAATATTTTATTATATAGAAAATGTTAAGGGCAGATAAGACTTATTAATCAGTTCACAATAGTTTTGTTTACAGTACTAGAAAAAACTGAAATAGGAAACTAGGAGCTGGTTAAATCCACATAATAGAAATATCATGCCATTTATGATGCTGTAGAACAAGGTTTACAAGGTTGCTAAGCCAAAAAGTAGGTTACAACAATGGTATTCAGTTGATTCCAATTCTGAGAAAGGAAGTTTACCTAAGGGACCTATTCCCCAGATATCAGCAGTAGTTATCTCTGGGAGATGGAATTATGGGTGTTTCGGTGTCTGTCTTTCTTTTCCTTTTACCTGCCCGTGCTTTCTAAATAATAATGAATTACTTTGCTAACAGAAAAATTATCTACTAAAATAAAAAAGTGGGAAAGTTTATTATTATTAATATATGTGTCTGGTTTGCTTGACAGACAATTCTTTCAAAATAGAGCCTGTGGGGAAAAACAATTACCTAAAGGTAGACAGGGGAGAAGCCCCTACCAGGGTCCCAGGGCGAGGGACAGTCCCTTGGAGGGTGCAGGTACTCACAGCCAGCTTCTCCTTGACCACACTGGCCGTGGCTGCGATGGTGCAGGCCGTGTCATGTTGCACCACCTGGGTGAACTCTGTCAGGTCCCGCTTCATGAACTCCAGGGCTTCGGAGGACTAGGGAAGACAGAGGGGCGACATCTGGTCTCACCATCCTTTGTTTCTATTCCCTGGACTTTAGTACCAGACAGATACATGGAAAACTTGCAATGGGGAGCTTGAGCTCAGAAACAATGCTCACTTGTCCCAATTCCATGACCAGGGATTGGCTGACAGCACAGAACACAGAGCACCTTCCTGGTGCTGAGCACCGGGACAGAGTCTCAGCCCAGACACTCACAAGCTATGTAGCCATGAGTAACTCATGTCCTCAGCGTGCACCTATGAAATGAGGGGGGTGGATTAGATCAGTGGTCCTCAAGAAGAGACTAGAGAAGGGAGCACAAAATGTCTGAAAACAAAACAGATTTTGCTTGGATATGCTTTAAGTCATGGTATTTGTTTCAACTTTCAAATAACATAAAGGTGTGTGATTGTTTTAATAAAGTAAAGTGCTTCTAATTTTACTTTTTGTTATAGGGAAAGTCAGTTGAGGGAGTATGTGAAGGTCTCTGTCTGAAAGGTTTAACAATGTTGGATTAGTAACTGATAATTTAGAAAGCTTTTACAAATAATTCTTGAATTATTCATGGTAAAAAGGTATGTGACTTTCCCATTCAACAAAGGGAGTGTTAAGAGAAATAGTGGATCAGATTCTCACTAAGGCCTTCTTGGATCCACCATTCCAGGGTCCATTCATCCACAGAACTCCTCCGGGCAGAACTGATGCTTGCTTCTCTTAGACAATCTGCATCTCATCCTGCACTCAGACCCAGCTTGAAAGAAGATCCTGAACTCTCTTCTAAATCCTGTCCTGTCTTGTTTCAACCTTACCCGCTCCAGGACACTTCCTGACTCTGTGCTCACCCCTGCAAGGCCTCTCACTTTACACAGGGACAATCACTTGCACTTTTTTAAAGCATGTTTTTGAACGTTCCAGTGTTTTTTTTCCTTTGGGGAAGGGACTGCCTAATTGTCATCACCCTGGGAAGTCTCTGAGTGGACTGTGACTGTCAGCCACAGGGTTGTCTGGAGCAGAAATCACGCGAGGGGTCATTTATTAACTTACTCTGTCCATCCACCACCTTAGTCCAGGCCAACCTGTTCTTTCACTTGCACTCCTACCAACTGCATCAGATACCTGCCTACATTCTCATGACACCAGTGGGAGCTTTGTCAGAACAGACCATGTTGCCTCTGCTTTTCATTCTGTGGTTTCACAGTATCTAACAAGCCAGTACAAAGTCTTTACCTTCACTTAAAAGGCCAATATAATTTTTTTTTTAAGATTTATTTATTTATACAAGCACTGGGTACAGTCAGAAGCGCGGGAGGGTGAGAGAATTCACCAGAGCCAGAGGGGAGAGCAGAGCAGGCAGACTGACAAAATACACTGTTGAGGGGTGTAGCGGGCGGCAGGGGAGGTCTGCGCGCCATGTGGGAACCTCGCCCGGCGGCCGGGGATTGAACCGGCATTGCAGAGGCTGTGGGCAGCTTCGCAACCCAGTGCTCAACCGCTGCACCACTGGGGAAGCCCAAGGCCAATAAAATTTTGCCTCTGGCAGACTCTAATCTCCATCACTGTACTCCTCACTGAGATCAGCTGGTCTTCCTCAAGTTTCTCAAATGTCCTGCCTCAGTTATCTGAACACAGTACTCCTGCTCTCTGACCTACAGTTCTAACACTTCAAAACAAACAACTAAGCAAACATAATGAATGAACCTTATTGCCTAGTTACCTTGTTTATCCTTGGGATCTACACTTAAATGCCACCTTAGATTAGCCTGGCTCTCCCGCTGCTCCACTTTATCAGGACACTTGCATGTCCTCTTCTTCTTTTGTTTTTTAAAAAGATTTTATTTATTTTTGCGTAGAAGATCTGGGGTGTAGGTCAGAGGATGAGAGTGAGAGGATTCACCAGAGACAGAGTGGGGAGCAGAACAGGCAGATCTACTGAAATACACTGCTGAGGGGAGCAGCAGGCAAGACAGGAGAGGTCTGCTGTACCATATGCGGGTTAGCTCCCTGGCCTGGGATTGAACTCAGGCCATACCAGAGGGCTGTTGCAGTGACAGTGCTGAGACTTAACCCTTAGGCCTCCAGGTAGGCCTCTTTGTTTAAGTTTTATCATACTTTAGACTTGTGGCTGATTACCTGTTCAATGTTTATCTTCTTAGATAACTGAGTTTCCTGAACATGGCTCTCATGTTTTTTTGCTCACTGACACCTCTCCCAGTGTCTCCACAGAGCTGAGCATAGTTAGACACCACATCAGCTTGCGAAAAGGGGTTTGTTTGTTAAATTTACATGCACCAGGGTAATTCTAATTATATAACCATTTACATGATTATTTGATGAGAGGACAAATATGAACAGGCATGTACTGCTACAAGATCAGTCTACTGGGGGAAATGCTCATTAACAGTTGATATGCCAGGGCAGAGCAGTGATCAGTGTCTTATGGGGAGGTTAGGAAGACTTGGTGAAGGAAGTCTTGGTGAGGCCTAACGAATAAGCAGGAGTTAGCTATGGAAACCTGGGTGATGGGGCATCGGGTTTACTGAGGCCTACAAGTATGCTGTCCTAAGGAACATAAAAGGTGAAGCAGAAGTGTGAGGAATAAGCTAAAGTGGTTGCCAAAAGCAACTATGAAGGGCCTGGTCAGCCTGGTGGGTGATAGGCAGCCATGATTTAAAGGAGGTGGGCTATGATGTGATCAGCATTTCTAATAGGTCACTCCAGTGACTGGCCTGGAAGAGAGGTCCAAGAGTGACCAGATTTGAAGAGAGGGAGACAAGTCAAAAGGCTACTGCAATAACCTAGGGAAAACAATAGAAGACTATGAATAAGGTCAGTGCTGGTATGGATAAGAGGATGGAACTGGTTCAAGAAATATTTGGCAAAAGAGGTGGATTTGATGATTAAATAGATGTGTTGCCATTGCTAACTGCAAGAGTCAAGGGAAATCTACTGGCTGCTAAAGTAGGTGACTGGATAGACAAAGGTGCCAAGCTAAGAGAGAAAACCGAAGGGGGAGCCAAGTTTAGAGAAAAGAAGGTGACAATGACTTTGGTCATACAGACTCTGCAGTGATTGTGTAATATCTGGGATAGTTGGGCAGCAGGAGCTATTCTCAAACACTGGAGCTCAGAATAAAGGAGTAGAGTCACCCTAATATGAAAATGAAAGTCACCCAGAAAGTCTGTAGAGGGCCTCCCTGGTGGCACAGGGGGTTAAGCACCGTACTACGAAGCAATCCGCAGCCTCTGCAGCACGAGTTCGATCCCCGGCCAGCTGGGAAGCAACCCACATGGCGCAGCAGACCTCTCCTGACTCGCCTCCTGACTCGCCCGCTGCTCCCCTCAGCAGTGTACTTCGGTCAATCTGCCTGTTCTGTTCCCCACTCTGTCTCTGGTGAATCCTCTCACCACCACCCAGCCCCCTGCATCTCTGGCCTGTACCCCAGCTCTTGTATGCATAAATAAATAAATCTTTAAAAGAAAAAAGAAAAAGTCTGTAGACTGAACAGAGCAGTGGGCTGAGGAAAAGGCTCCTTAGACACCACCTTTATGGGCAGGCAGAGGAAGAAGAACACATGAAATAGGCAGGAGAGCAGAGCCTGGAGAAGTTTGAGGATTATAGAGCATTGAGAGAGAATCCTAGCATAAAAATGAAGTGAGTAGAGTTTCAAGAAAGAGGGAGTGATCACCAGTGTCAAATGCAGCAGAAAGGTCTGAGAAGATAAGGGCTAAGGGCTGAAAACCCACCCACTGGATTTGGCAAGTAGCAGGTATAGCTGAGTGTGAATATAGATAACGCTGGGGCGGGGGTGGGGGGTGGGTTATAGATACCATGTTGTTGACTTCAAATTTTAAAAACAGGAGGTAAGGTTGACTCCTGGAAGTAAAAGAGGAAGTGGCTGAACAGGGGACCCAAGGGAAGAATTAGGTGTGGGAAAAGTTTCTAAAAGGAAGGCAAGAAAAGCAAATCAGTGTTTGAAAAATCTTGGGGTGGCGGGGAGAGGGATGCTGAGACCCAGATGAGGTTATGTAATCTGTGGTGGGGCCAAAAAACAATGTGACTTTCTCTATCAGTGTGTGGCCAAATGTGTGCATTCATTCTCTCTCTCTGAGATAAGGAACAGAGGAAGGAGGAATATAATATCTCGGAATTACAGTCTTTGAGGCTAAGGGGTACAAGAGAATTGAAAGTGCTGGGAACTGAATGGCCCAGATGGAGCCAGGATAGGAAGAGAAGGAAGCAAGGCAGCAAAGCCTGGAAAACACCAAAAGACCAAGAAAAAAAAAAGGAAGGATAAAAGGACTCATGGTATTTAAGAGATTCTCCATCACTCTCAGCACTGAATAAAAATAGCTAACTCTTCTATAGCACTTATTATGTGCTAGGTATTGTTCTTAGTGCTTTACATATCTCATTTAATCCTTACAACCTTATCAGGTAGGTATTACTAGTATTCCCATTTCATAGTTGAGGAACTAAAGACCAGAAAGGTGAAGAAACTCTCCCGGGCTTATTCTGAAGAGGGAATCATCAAAGGCAGAAATAACACTCACACCACCCCTCTGCTTCAGAGTCCCCAAAGAACAAAGATGAAGGTTAATCAACTATTTTTCATGAATTATGGCAAAACCAACCCTAATGAAAACACACAGGAGGCCCTCAAACATGTACTAAATGAATGTCATACACTCTTTCCAGTAGACTGCTCATGAGGGAGAGGGCTACTTTGGGGTCTACTTAACCTCTGTGAAATTCTCTTCCAGTTCTCAACAACATCAACAGCTCAGCGCATTCTGAACTGAGAGGCTATCCTGGAGTACACGGGTGAATAATTTAACTGAGGCCTTCTAAAGTCTCCCCTGAAGCAGAACTCACCCCAGTTGATTGAGGTAAATAGTAATTAACTTTTTCAGAACTAAGTTGAACTGGTTTTGACAAACTGGCATGGGATGAAACAGGAACACACAATGACACTGATCATGGTCAGAAGTCTCATTCACCCCACAAGAATTGCTGTTTCCCAACTGGACTATGAGCTTTGTGGGGCCTAAGACTCATCTAGCTAATGTGTATCCTCAGAACCTGTCAAAGAGCACTGGCTGTGATACACTCTAATATTTAAATGACTACAGAAATAAGTTTCTATTGCTAGAATTCTTTTTCTCCAAAGCCTAGCTCAAACATTCTCTCTCCCTCAAACTGGAATAAACAGCTCTTTCCTATGGGTTCCTATGAAAGAGTCGCTCCAGCCTTTAAAACGATCTTTATTTGACCGTAGATAGCTCATACCGACCTGAGTCCGGGTCTGTCCTTCCGTAGACCAACAGGGACTAAAAGTCCGCCGCACCCCTAAGGCCCAGCGCCCAAGCGGATCGGGCGGGGTCCCTAGGTTGCAAGGAGGCGGCACGAAGGAAAGCATCAGCCCGGCTTACCTTCTCCTTGACTGCCTGGTAGCTCTGCTGCAGCCAGCTCCGCCACCATCCCACGTCCTCCCTGGGGAAGACAGACACATCTGGCAGCCCCGCGGTGCGAGCCCCGCGGTGCGACCCCCGCCCGCCCAAAGATCCGGCCCATCAGATCTGTTTTCCCCTCAGATGTGGCCCGCGCGCCGAGGTGTAGCAGATCACTTCCCCACCACCTCCCATTGCGACTCCACTTCCCCTTTTCAACTCCGTCCACGCCCACGCCGGCCTCCCATTCCCCACGGAGACCCTGGCCAAGCACCCCAACCCTGGGGGAATTCAGGCCTCAACGCCCGAGAGCTGGAAGACTGGCTCACCCTTCCGCCATCTTGCCTGCATGACATCACCACTATTTACTGACCTTTGACTTCCGACACGGCCCCGCCCCCTAAGGCCCCGCCCCTAGGGCTCAGCCCAATCCTCGTGCTGGCCCCGCCCCCAGGTCAGTTTCTGCTCCGCCCCATCATTAGGCCCCGCCTTCCTGAGTCGGGCGGGTCCCGGTCCCGAGCTCGTCTTTAAACTCCGCCCGAGCGCTCAGGCTCGCCCTCCTTCGTTCCGCTTCGGGCCCGCCCCCAGCGTTAGTCCCACCTCCACCGGTCTGGAATCCCGAGCGGTGTCAGCCCACCTCCGGTACGGTGGCTGCTCTGGGCCACTATTGGCGCCCCCGACTGGGCCGCGGAGAATTGGGAATGCTCGGAAGCCCCCGCTGGCGGGGGTGGCCGCAGCTGGAACGTCTGGATCCCCGAGCGCACCGCTAGGACCGCCCCCCTTTATGAAACCAGCCGCGTAGCAGCTGCTTCGGCTCTCTTCGGGCTGGTTCACGAGCGCTAGCTGCGGGACTCCGGGCCAGGGTTTGGAGGTGTGTGGAGAAAAATTCAGAGGTGGCTTAAATGATGTCTCTGGAGGGGCTGTCAGGATATTGGGGAGTCGGGCGCGCATTCAACTGTTTCACCTGTTAGCGGGCTAGCTAACTAGGCGAGGTGATGGTTAGGAGGAGCCCGGAGACCGCCTGGAGGAAGGGACTGAGGATGTGTGTGTGCATGGTGGTCCTCCTTGAAGGAGGGCGTTGAGGGGTGTGTGTGTGCGCGTGTGTGTGTGTGTGTGTGTGTGTGTGTGTGTGTGTGTGAGAGAGAGAGAGAGAGAGAGACAGAGACAGAGACAGAGAGAGTCTGCGACTTTCCTGAGGAGCACACTTCCTACTCTTTAATGTCTCATCTGCTGCCCACCTGCATCTGCGCCCACATTCTCTGCACGCCATCCCATGCCTATCGTCTATTTAAGGGAGTAGCTTCAGTAATTCTCTTCCTCAATTCCTTTTTCCCCCTTTGCAGGATTATTTCTGTCATCATACATGCTGTTATTTCTTCCTTCTTAAAAGCAAGCAAGCAAACAAGCAAGCAAGTAAATAATGGTCCTACATTATTTCCCTACTTCTCTTTACAGCAAACTCCTGAAAAGTTGCCTATATTTACTGTCTCCAGCTCCCCTCTCCTCCATTCTCTCTAGGACTCATTGCAGTCAGGTTTTTACCTCCCCACAATCCTTTGAGATAACTCCTGTTAACATGCCAAGAGCAAGGGCCAAATTTCAATCCTCACCTTATTTGAACCATCAGCATCTTTAACACAATTCATCACCTTCCGACTCCTTTCGGACACTTCCCTTGATTTCTAGGACACCTTTGCCCTCCTGGCTTTCCTCCTACTTTGCTGGCATTTCCTTCTCAGTGTTCTTTGCTGCTTCTCTTCTTGTTGACCTCCTGTTGCTGGAATGTTCCTGGACTCAGTCTTTGGCCCCCTTCTTTTCGAATGTCTATACTCCTTCCCCTGTTGATCTCATCCAATCATGTGATTTTTAACACCATTTATACACCAGCAGCTTTTCTCTCCAACCCACACACATCTTCTCTGATTTGGATTATCTCTATTTGGGTCACTAGCTCTTTTTGGATGTATAATAGGTATATGAAACATCACATGTCCCAAACCCCTGATGTATCTACTTCAATTTCCAGCCAGTTTTTAAAAGATGTAAATGGCAATCTCATTCTTTAAGTTACTTAAGCCAAAAACCTGGCAGACATCTTTGATTCCTCACTTTCTTCAAAAAGAATTCCCCAGCAAATTTAGTTGCTGTTCTCTCTCTCTCTCTCTATTTATTTATGCATACAAGATTTATTTATTTATGCATACAAGAGCTGGGGTACAGGCCAGAGATGCGGGGGTGAGAGGATTCACCAGAGACAGAGCGGAGAACAGAACAGGCAGACTGAGTGAAGTACACTGCTGAGGGGAGCAGCGGGCAAGTCAGGAGAGGTCTCCTGCGCCATGTGCGTAGCTCCCTGGCCTGCTGGGGATTGAACTCATGCTGCAGAGGCTTTGGATTGCTTCATAGTGTGGTGCTTAACCCCTTGCGCCACCAGGGAGGCCCCCTCTCTTTCTTCTTGAATTAGAGGTGCTGGAGGTGAAAGGATTCACCAGAGACAGAGTGGGAAGCAGAACAGGCAGATCCTCTGAAATACATTGCTGAGGGGAGCAGCGGGTGAGACAGGAGAGGTCTGCTGCGCCATATATGGGTTAGCTCCCTGGCCAGGGATTGAACTCAGGCTATGGTGGTGATAGCGCTGAGACTTAACAACTAGGCCATCAGGGAGGCCTGGTTATATCTTTAAAACCAGAATTCTGTCACTTTCATTGCCTCCACTGCTACTGTATAGGTCCAAGTCACCATCATCTCTCACCTGGATAAATGCAGGAGCCTCTGAATTGGTATCTCTGCATCCACTTCTGCCTTTCAGAGTCTAGTCTTAATTCACCCTGAAAGTACTCTTTCAGAAAGTGTAAGAAGGTAAAATGGTGTATCTGCTATGAAAAACAGTATGACAGTATCTTAAAAATTTAAACAGAATTACCATATGATACAGTAATTCCACCCTAGGTACATACCTCAAAGAATTGAAAACAGGTACTCAAACAGATTATTTGTACATCCCTATTCATAACCACATTATTTACAATATTTACAAGAGGTGGAAGTGACCAAGTGTCTGTTGACAGATGAATGGATAAACAAAGTATGATACAAATAATGGAACATTATTTGGAAAAAAGAAGAAAATTGCAACACATGCTACAACATGGATGAACCATAAAGATATTATGTCAAGTAAAATAAGTTAGTCACAAAGGAGTAGTTTTGTGTGACTGTAATTTAAGGTTCTGAGAATAGTCAAATTTATGGAGACAGAGTGGAATGGAGAGATGGTAAGTAAAATGGTGGTATCAGGAGCTGAGGGAAGGAGGAGTGGGTGCAGCATTAGTTTGGGGAGTTGAAACAGTGCCTGGAACATAACAGATGCTCAATATTTGTTGAACAAATGAAAAAATAAATGTAAGGACAGCTAGGAAAAAGATAGGGCAAATTTGAAGCAATCTGGAGAGGCGAAAACGAAACGGTGGAGGTGAAGGTGAAGGTCATTAACACTTAGATTCTTAAGAGTCTTGGGTGCAAGATTAAAGACTCAGACTTGATCCATGGAGAGAGGGGAGTCACCAAAGGTGCTGTGAAGGCAGCATGACAGGTTACCACATCTTACTGGCACTGGTCTAATGGTGCCACTTATTAAACAGGAAAGCATTTTACTTCACATATTATGTGTGATCTTCCCTGTAGCTTTATGCAGTAGGAACTATTTTTAATCTCCATTTTATAGATGAAGCTGAAATTCAAGGAGATGGGGTGACTTTCCAAGGGTCATCTAGCTGGGAAATGGCAGAAGTCTCATGTGAACACAAGGCTGTGTAATAAAAATCAAGTTTCTGCACATCTCACATGTACAGACATGTTACGTCTTACCTTCTCCCAGCCTTATGTCTTGCCACACCCCCTTCCCCCAGATAAGCTGCAGATAGGCAAGGTATCCTTTGCCATACTTACTTTATCTCATTCCCCCACCCCCAGGCCTAGCACCGCACTTGTTTGTGAGGTCCTCGGTGTGTGTGGACTGAGTGAGACCCTCTGCTTGGATCTCTTTGGTCTTTCCCATTTGTTCATCCTCACACCTTGACCTTGGCTCCCTTCGCTGGTATGATCATCTGGATACAAATACCATCACAGCCACTTCCCAGCAATATCGCCTTGAGCAAATTATTGTCCTTGGCTTTAGTGTTTCCATTGTTAAAATGGGGGTACTACTCCTGGTTGTTGTGAAGATTAAGATAAATAAAACACCTAACACATCATCTAGCACCAAATACTTTTTTTTTTAAAGATTTATTCATTTTATGCACAGAAGAGCTGGGGTACAGGCCAGAGGTGGGGAGGGTGAGAGGATTCACCAGAGACAGAGTGGGGAACAGAACAGGCAGATTGACTGAAGTACACTGCTGAGGGGAGCAGCAGGGGAGACGGGAGAGGTCTGCTGCACCATGTGTGTTGCTCCCTGGCCGGCCAGGAATCGAAGTCGTGCTGCAGTGGCTGCAGTTAGCTTCACAGGTTGTGTCTTAACCCATGCGCCACCAGTGAGGCCCTAGCACCAAATACTTAATATGATAGTTATCATTGTTTGAGCCTCCTACCCCTGGGTGAAGAGTCTAGCACAATGCTGGGCCTGACAGAGAGTTCATAAACCTATGTTATGCTGAGCAAAATGTTGAAAACAGACTGGGAGTCAGCAGAAGTTAATTTTAATCCTTGGTTTCAGCATTTGTTGCTTTTTCTGTCTGGAACAGTTTATTTACTTCGGGGTCTCTTGCTTGAAGTAGGAATGCAGTAGTTCACCCTATCACTGACCCTCAGACCCTCCCTTGACCCATGGTCCCCCTGGGGCAATGCTGGTCACCTCTTGGATGGTGATTCTTCTATTGATAGATCCTCTGGCCTTGACTCTCAGAGAGGCTTGACATTCATATGCCACCAGATGGCGCTGTGGACTCATTTCAATGAAGCTGGCTCCCTTTGGCTGGGTTCTCTGGAGGTGGAGATAGCCTGTGGCCTCCTCCAGAGAGGCTGGGCTTCCTTAGTGGAAGCCAGCCAGGCCGAGGATGATTCCAGAGGTGGACTTTCTAAATTTCAAGCCCATGCTGGTTCTGCTGTGAATATTCCAGCAGAGTTGGCAGCAGGACCAGCTACACAATTTGTGGGAACCAATGCAAAATGAAAATGCCTCAGTTGCTTGTTGAGGAAGTCCAGGGCATGTCTAAAAGCCAGTAGGATGATGGGGAACCCAATTCAGCTTTCTAGAGCTGATAGCTAAAATTTCAGGAATTTTATGAGCTGGTTATTGAATACAAGCATAATTAAAATGAAAGTATATAAACGTATGAATACATTATATAAAAACAAAAGTTATAAATATACCAAAGCCATCAGATGCAATTAATTTTATGCATTTCATTATCATCTGTGCTTTTGAAATGAGTTACACTGACTGTGTCTATATGGTGGAAATACTATGTAATATTGTACCTTTCTTCCCTACTCCACATTCAATGATGTTATGTTGGTGGTTTTAATTGACATAGATGGGATGTTTATATCACTAATATCTACAGACACTACAAGTCATGCCCCTTCCACCATCTTCCACCAACCAGTTGTTAAACTTTGGCCAATACAAACCACCTGGTGGTACCCTCCTGTGCCGCGCTGTGTGATCCTGAGCAAAGCCCTATTCCTTCCAACTTCCCGTATGTTTATGAATCACTTTATAATGGACAAAAGGAGGCACTCTGTGTGTGCAGGCCACCGATCTCTCATGTAACTCATACAGTTACCCAGGAAGTAGATTATTGCGGTCCAAAGGGCAAAGGACATGGCCACTTAAGAGCCGAAGAGCCGATGTCCTTGGTTCCTGGAGTGACAAGGCTTCCATTAGGGGGCGCTGTGGGCTGATTGAAGGAGCTAGTCACATAATCTTTGTTTCTTTCTCTCCTTGGTAAAATAATAATAATAATAATAATAGTCTTTCTAGTCACTTCCAGCATTGTTTGGGGAGTCATACATTACAAGCTCGCATTCTGTACCTGTGAGTGGGCAGAGGAAAGATCTAGACCCTTCTGTAGAAGCACATGGGGGGGTGTGACAACTGGTGTTTCCTTCCTGCTGTGACAACAGTGAGAGTTTTTCTCAAAAGGGATTTTGGGATTGGATGATTTAGTTCATGAAATGCCAGCCTAAAATATGACGCTTTGGTATATTGATTATTTTGAGCTGAAAGCACTTGAAAAACTGCAAATTCAGAGATAGATTTTCTCAGAACTCCCCTTATCTGCTTACTGACAGATCCTCCAGAAGGAACTCAGTTGTCATAAATCACCTCCCCTGGAGTTTCATCAACCAGGGGAGATTGACTTATCACAGTCCACAAGGTGGCCTAGGGGTTAAGGCTCAGCACTACTACCTCAATGGCCTGAGTTCAATCCCGGGCCAGGTAGCTAACCCACATGGCAAAGCAGACCTCTCCTGTCTCTCCTGCTGCTCCCCTCAGTGGTGTAGTCCAGTGAATCCACCTGTTCTGCTGTCTCTGGTGAATCCTCTCACCACCACCCTCTGCATCACTGGCCTACACCCCAGTTCTTGTACACATAAATAAATAAAAATAATTTAAAAAAAAAATATAGTCACCATGCTGCACATTATATCCCCACACTTACTCATTTGATAACTGAACGTTTGAACCTCTGACCACCTTCACTGAACTCACCTACCCCCCAAGGTCCAGACTGTTGTGATCAAACTGGGTTGTTGCTTCATGCAACACCACACTGACAAAGACACGGGAGTTGTGGAGCAGGTTGCACAAGGCAGGATGCTGCTGAGAGCAAGATCCTGGCTGTTTTTATTGATAGAATAATCATAGAGCATCAGCTACGTGCGTTAGGAGGACAAGGAGAAAAGAATGGGTGAAACTCAGGAATGTCATCTAGGGCTTGGAGGACACATGACTTGATAACCAAGTGTTGTAATAGAAACTAGACCCCAGGCCCCCAGCCACAGTCCTAATCTTATCAACAAGGCATTCCACTGATCATCTTCTGGGGTCCCTTGTCATGCATTGGTCCTTGGCATCCCCCCCACTGGGTGTTCCGGGTCATATGTAATGATGTATGAGTCGGGAGTAAGTTTATGCATCCGTCCTCAGCCCCCCGGGCATTCCCGGTCATACCTCTTGATGCATACCCTTCCCAGAGTGATGAAGCTTTCTGCTCTTGAGTGATATGAAAGGCACCTTGTAAGGTTTGGCTCATATGACTGTGACTGGACAGTTCTGACCTTTGTATAGGAATGCAGAACTGCAGGTAACCATAATGGTGGCTGAACAGGCCGCTTAAGTCTAGCAGGCCCACACAGGCCGCTTAAGTCTAGCAGACCCACCCACACTGGGTGTCAGTAATGGTGTTGCGAGGGTGTCCTTGGTGAGGGATGTTCCCGCTCTTGAGCCCAAGCACAGTCTCCACCCCTGTCGTTATGGTCCTTTGGCTGTGAACCTTCTGGACAAGGACTGGGCTGACTGGGGGGAAAGGCTACCTAGTTCATATCCCCAGAACATATTTGCTGATTGAAAGTTTCCCATATAGGGCCTCACCGGTGGCGCAGTGGTTGAGCACTGGGTTGTGGAGCTGCCTGCAGCCTCTGCAGCGCCGGTTCGATCCCCCACCACCGGGCAAGGGCCCCACATGGTGCGCAGACCTCTCCTGCCGCCCGCTGCTCCCCTCAGCAGTGTACTTCGGTCCTTCTGCCTGCTCTGCTCCCCGCTCTGGCTCTGGTGAATTCTCTCACCCTCCCGCGCTTCTGACTGTACCCAGTGCTTGTATAAATAAATAAATAAATCTAAAAAAACATTAAAATAAAATAAAATATTTTAAAAAAAGGAAAGTTTCCCATAAAGCATTGAATGAGGAAGTTAGGAAATAGGTATAGGTAGTTAGCTAGAATTGGGGGCCCAAGTTCAGGTGTCCTAAACCCATTTATCAAATTGAATAATGAACAATTAGTTGGAGTCAGGGTGATCCCAACCCAGTAAAAATGGAATGTTCAGAACACCCATACAATAACACAATGCTAAAGCAACAGACCAAAGCAGAGAAATTAAACCAAGGAAAGCAGAGCATTAAACCAAGCATGGGACCTTTCTGAGTGCAGGGCCCTGTGTCACAGTAGAGGTGGCTCCTGAAGCTGGTTGGCCTGTCATCCACCCCCTCAGCCCTGCGGCCATCCTCCCTTTCTTAGACATGAACCAGTTTGTTTTAGAGCCTTTAATACTAATACTCCTCTTCTGCATGAAATGCTCTTCTGTTTAATCTTAACCTGGCTCACAACGCCTTACTAGGATCTCTCAGCTGGAAGGTCACCAGCTGAGAAAGGCCATCTCTGACCTGAATTCAACCTAGTGTAGCCACCCAATCACCCTGTTGCATCAACACCCTGTTGTGATTTTTTGGTAGGCACTTTATAGATTTCTTTTTTTCTTTAGTTTATTTATTGGCCACCTTGCTGTGTTACAGGTGGAATTGTAACACCTCCCCACCTTCCTATGTTGAAGTCCTAACCCCAGAATATGACCTTATTTGGAAATAGAGTTATTATAGATGCAACCAGTTACGATGAGTGAACCCTAACTCAGTAGGACTGGTGTCCTTACAAAAAGGGGAAGCACAAGGAGAATGCGACATGAACATGAAGATGGTCATCTGCATGTCCAGCAGGAGGACAGGAGCAGAACCCTCCTCATAGCTTTCCTCTGCTGACACTTTGATTTCAGTTTTCTGGCCTCCCGAACTGTGAGAAGATAGATTTTAGTTGGTTACGCCAGTTTGTGGTGCTTTGTTACGTAAGTCCTAGCAAACTAATATACCCCCTCCCCTCCTTTTGGACGAAGCTCCCTAAGAACAGTTACCTGGTTTGTCTTGTTCACAGTCATCCCAGAACCATTCACTTCTAATTGTGCACCTGAAAGCCTTTCAAAGGAACTGCTGTGGGTGTTCAATAAAAACCTGTTGAGTAGATTAAACCGTTTCACTCATTTCCAGAAATTTTGCAGAGTGACAGCACACAGAATGCTCGTGGGCAGATATGCCATAGCTCCTGTATGCACCACACGCTTCAGCTCTCCGGACAAAGGGATGAACACTTCCCAGGTCCCTCAAGTGGGACTCCAAAGACCCAACCGAGCTCCAGCCTTTCACCAGCTCTGCTTCTTGCCCCTTCTGGCATCTTGGTACTTGTAGTTTTGTCCACTCTATCTTTGCCCGAAAAACCAACGTTGAGACCACAACTCCCATCACCCCGCGAGCACTGCAGCCTCCAGAGCGCATCCTCTGGAGGGGGTCCCGGCGCCATTGACTAACCTGCTGACCGAAGGGCCCGCCTTCCTGGCCCAAAGGCCCCCGTGATTGGCCAGCTGCCCTGCCTCGCAGCGGAGGGGCGACAGGTGAATGAAAGGGGGGCGTGCCGGTGCGCGTAGCTCGGCGACGGCGCGGCTGGAAACCGCTGGAAGGTGAGAACGAGAAGCGGGTTTACGCTGCTGTTTTCATTGGCTTGGGGAGGATTCGGGGCACCCCCAGAAGGTCAGCCCACTGGGGAGGGGGGCAGCGGCAGGGATGTCCCGTGTTGGTCTGTCTTCCTCGGACCCCCGGGCCTTGGCGACTCTCGGGACCCCAGCCGACCAGCCCCCCCCCTTTCCCCTTCAGTGTGGGGAGGGGCGGCGTGGCGGCGGGTTGCCCCCGAGCCCCGAGCCCCGGCTTGGGGCTGTGCTGTGTCGTCCAGCTGGGTGGTCGGGGCGCTGGCGCCTTCGGACTGTGTCGGGGCGCTAGGCTCGGCCAGGCTGCTCAGTGTCCACCCCAGCGATGGTCACTGTGTCCGCGGGAGATCACCCGAGGGGCAAGGCCTCGCTTTCTCTCCTTCGGGGAGCCAAGACCGTGTCCAGGAATTGGTTCTGGTGATCTCTGCAGGGTCGTCTGACTCTGGACGGGAGGATCCCCTTGTCTTGGAAGCAGTTTAGCAGTTGAAGCAAAGATGCAATCGACCCCGAAATTCTTGCTGTAGAAAAGGAAACTCTCCGGGTCTGCCCCTCCACTCCATGTGTGGGAGAAAGGAGAGACTTCCCCAACCCTTGTCACTGTGTTTGGCGGGTCAGGTTGGCATAGTGGTTAAGGACAGTCTGCTCTGGCAGCAAACCCTTCCAGTTCTAGCCTGGAGGTGTAATCTGTAAATTTCAACCTCAATTTCCTTCTCTGAAATAGAGGCTGTAATAATCAGATCCCCTGCAGTGGGTTGTAAGGTTAAAATGAACTATTGTAAAAGAGCTTGGTGCTGTGCACCATGAGGAGCGCTCAGTAAATGTTCACAATTCATGACTAGGTTTTCTTTATTCTCAGGTTGGTGAGACTGGAGGAGTCTTGTCAGAAAGAGTCAGTGGGTGGAATTGAAGACAGCTTTTGGCATTGCAATGAGGACAGACTGTGATCTGGCTAGGGTTCCCTCAGGGAGAGTGGGAGTTTGGAGGACATGCACTATACTTGCCTCATTTTCCTATGCCTGGCATCTTCCTAGTGTCAGGCATTGTATGGAGCTAGTAACTGTTGAATTGATTTGGAACTGTGGAAGGCTGGGAAGATTCCTGCTAGTATGGGTCAATGTGCTTCTGAGAGCTGTATTCCCTAAGAGCTTCTTTTCTGGGTGAAGTGGTGAGGCTCAGCATGTCCCAGGGACACAGGGCACTGTCAAGAAGTGGGATTGAGGGCCCCCCTGGTGATGCAAGGGGTTAAACACTGCACTATGAAGCAATCCGCATCCTCTGCAGTAAGAGTTCAATCTCCCAACCCACCAGGGAGCAACCCACATGGCGCAGCAGACCTCTCCTGAGTTGCCCGCTGCTCCCCTCAGCAGTGTATTTCAGTAGATCTGTCTGTTCTGCTCCCCACTCTGTCTCTGGTGAATCCTCTCACCCTTTGCACATCTGGTCTGTACCCCAGTTCTTGTATGCATAAATAAATAAATCTTTAAAAAAAAGAAGTGGGTTGATATGAACAATTATTACACATTATATGTCAAATGCAGGAATGGGGAGAGTCTTGGAGAAAGTATGTGAATAGACTTTTGCAGAGTCGAGAAGTGTTTACATGATCCCATAGAATCTAGAGTATTTGCAGGGAGAAAGCCAAAGGAAATGGGTTTTGGATATTATTGTTGGAAAGAAGCAATGAAAGATGAAAATGCTCTGGAAGGAGGACCTGCAGACGAAACCATTCTGTGAGTGGGTTAAGTGTTATGCCTACTTAGCTATTTTTCTCCCTCTCTGCTCCTCCTCCTCCTCCTTTTTTTTAGTTAAAAAAAGATAAAACTCAAGGTCATCTGCTGATATAACGTCTCCAAAAAAAGGTTCATGCCTGTACCAGCAAAAGCATATCTGCAGATGGGATCATACTCTACAGTTTTTTTGCTTCTTGCACAATACGTTGACCTTTAAATACTAGCTCATTAGGGCCTCCGTGGTGGTACAGCGGTTGAGCGCTGGGCTGCGAAGCTGCCCGCAGCCTCTGCAGCACCAGTTGGATCCCCGGCCGCCGGGTGAGGGTCCCACATGGCGTGACAGACCTCTCCTGTCTCACCCACTGCTCCCCTCAGCAGTGTGTTTCCTCAGTCTGCCTGTTCTGCTCCCTGCTCTGTCTCTGGTGAATTCTCTCGCCCTCCCGCACTTCTGACTGTACCCAATGCTTGTATAAATAAATAAATAAATCTTTGGGGGGAAAAAAAAAGCTAGCTCATTAAAAACATGGCTGCATAATATTCCACTGTGCTTGTACTTCATTGATTTCACTTGTTCATTATGGGTAGACTTTTTAGATTATTCCTATTTTTTCAGTAGCCCAAAAACCTAGAGCAGTGGATAGCTCTAAATTTAAAAATTGATGTATTTTGGGAAACATATCCCAAATAGTAAATTTTTAGCAGTGGAATTTCTGGAGCAAAAGATGTATTCCTATTTTTTTTTTATAGGACTTTGGTTTTTATTGTAGAAAATATTGAACAATCGGCACATGGTTGCCTGTATGGTTTTCTTCTGCACCCAATATCTGTTGGTTTTCAAGGAGCTCCGCCATCTGGGCATGACCCATGGTTTCCATCTCTGACTTCAATGCTCTGCTCAGCTTCAGTCAAGGATGTGTGCATTTTAAGTTTTATTTAATTATTTTTTAAAAATTTATTTATGCATATATGAGCTGGGGTGTAGACCAGAGGTGTGTGTTGGGGGAGGGGGAGTGAGAGGATTCACCAGAGACAGAGTGGGGAACAGAACAGGCAGACTGACCGAAACACACTGTTGAGGAGAGCAGCTGGCAAGACAGGAGAGGTCTGCTGCTCCACGTGGGTCAGCTGCCTGGCCGGGGATGGAAGTCCTGCTGCAGTGACTGATGATAGCTTCATAATGCTGAGACTTAACCTCTTGCGCCACCAGAGAAGCCCCATTTTCAGTTTTAATATTGCCAATTTCCCCCTCTAAAATGGCGTTCCAAATTACAATACCACTGACAGTGGGTATTATCCCATTAAAAAATATGATTTTACTAATCTGATAGGTTTTCTTTTAGTTCTGAGAAAGAACAGAATGTAATGTTAAATGTCATCTTTTCCTATATCTCATTTTTCCCCTCAGCATCTGGATTGTCACAGACCATAACACAAACTGCTGGGAAGGCTTGCTTGGAACAGTTGGAAGAGGTGAAAATGACATGAAGTCTTAATTCTGTGAAAACTTTCAGGGTTGATTTATTTGGAAATAGCAGAATTTCTCCTGTATTTAATAGTTTTTTTTATGTTCTGTACCAAAATGTTAATCTTAACTGCTTTGGGTGAAAAAATTACTGAAATTATGACCTAACTTTTCTGAGTTTAAAGTGAATATGAAAAGATAAGAGTCATCTTGATGGCCCATCCAGTTAGAGCCCTGGGCTATAATTTAGAGATATCCTCAGGCCATTTTGAATATGTAGGAACATTTATGGTGTTAGCTAAATGGCCTCAGGCTGATATTTTGAAAAAATTCCCAAGGTCTTTTTCTTTTTCAGTTCTCTTTACCTTTCTTAGCAGTCAGTTTTCACTTTTAAATTTGTCAGTTTACTAGCTCTTAGAGGCTCCTCTCCATGTCCCTCCTTAATTGGTCCTCTAGTTTCTAAACTTAATGTGTCACTTGATATAAACATGTATAAAGTAGATACAAATTGCTATTGAATTAAGTTGTTGTGGACTTTTTATGAGTCAAGTATGTGCAGTTAGTGCATAGGCCTGGGAGGTCTATTTTGCCAGTGGAGGGACTCTCTTTGTGGGGAGGTAGTGCCTGATTTCTGGTGGAGTGGGCATTGTGCTCCATCTTGAGCAGCTGAAGCGTCTTAGCTGTGGTTAGTAGATCCAGCTATGCCTTTGGTGATTCCAGTATTGGGAGATCGTATACATGGTTGTAGAAAGTTCTTTGAGCTCAGTGGGCCAGCAAGTAAAACGGGTTGTTGATGTAGTTTGTGTGGTGGAAAGAGATGGAGGGAGGGCTTGGGGGAGGGTCAGTGTTTGTTTTTCTCACTAGCAGAAGGATTTTAAACTTGGTGTATACTTGTTCTACTAAGCACTTAAGTATTCCTTTGACTTAGCAAACCTACTTTTCCAAGCACTGTGCAGGTGCAGTGAGGGATAGCCAATGAGTTGAGACATGGCTTATGCTTCAGAGGACTTGGGTCCCACTAACAGAGTAGGGCCAGGAAATAAAAACAGGAAGGTAAGTGAAGCAAGTTGCAAGCAGTCAGAAACCCCACACAGATGAGCTAAAGCAAAAAGGGACTTAATTGACTTGTGGCACAGCATGAGTTGGGGCTCAGATGGTGCTCCAGGCTCCATCTGTTGCCCCTGCCTGAGCTGGGCTGTCATCTTTGCTAGGCTGGTTCCCCTGGTGATGTGGCAGCAGCAGCCTCACATCCACATGCCCACAGAACAGAGTGCTCTCCTCAGAGCCCTCAGCAAACACTTCATTGCTTTGCTTTGTGTCTGACCACGCGGCACGGCATCTTTGAGCCAATCACTGTGGTCCCAGGGTGGGATAGGTTGTTAGGTTTCAGTCTCTGTCACATCACACACCCCTGGCGCCTGCCTGGGTGGAACCAGCCTGACACAAAGCTCATTGGCCAAGAATGAAGGAGTACTTTCACCAAAGCCAAGAAGGGCACTGAAACCATAAAAATGGGGAACACCTACTGGTTAACCCAAGAATCCACCAAATGATTCCACAAAGGGATGGTTTTAGGTGTGAGCTGAGGTCGTACCTGTCAGTCTCTAAGTTCTGTACCAGGAAACTGGAGACTGGACTGTAATTCTTAGATTTGGGTGTTGTCTCTCTTTTGTCTTGAAGAAAATGTAGTGTTCAGGAGGTAAATACACCTGGTTTGAATCCTGGCTCTGTTATAACTGGACCTTTCCTATCGTCTCTGAATCTCGATTTCCTTTTCAGAAAAAGTGCAATATTAGTAAATATTAGAAGTACAGTATTAGTACTTAGTGTTAGAAAAGAGAGGAGGCCAAGAGTATCAGGCAAAAGCGGGCTTTATTGGCAGTCTGGGTGGGATGACTCTGCAGGCCAAGAGCTGCACCCCAAAATGGGAGTGTGGGTCTTTATGGGGTTAGGCTACTGCTGGAATTTTTGGTGTATGTGTGGGGATCTCTTCTGCCAGAGGGGGTCTGCTGGGGGTGGGATTGGGGGACAGATCTTCTGGAGTTGTTTACTGTTATTAGCTTTATCTCTAATTCTGCTTATCTCAGGTCCCCTGGTGCCTGGTTGGTTATGCAGGTTTTACAAGGGGCCCCACTGGTTCTCTCTTTACTTAGGGTTTTGTAGAAATTCATTGAAAGAATTCATAAAACACTAAGTATCGGGTCCACATTCAGTTAACTATAGTTATTTTTGATAAATGTACCCAGTTGGACAGCCTCTGATTTTGTTGGGTCCAAGACAGCCCGTATCATAAAGACTATTGAACTAGTGTTTTTGGAAAAATTAAAAAAAAATTTTTTAATTAACATTTTCTTTGTAAGGTCGGGATTTGTGAATTAACCTAAAAAAATCTTGGCAGAGATACAGGCTCCTCCTGAGTGGCAGCAGCTGGTGGAGAAATGGAGATGCAATCCTATTATGCCAAACTCTTGGGGGAGCTGAATGAACAGCGGAAGAGGGACTTTTTCTGTGACTGCAGCATCATTGTGGAAGGGCGGATCTTCAAGGCCCACAGGAACATCTTGTTTGCCAACAGCGGCTACTTCCGAGCCCTGCTCATTCACTATATCCAGGACAGCGGGCGCCACAGCACAGCCTCCCTGGACATCGTCACCTCCGATGCCTTCTCCATCATCTTGGATTTCCTCTACTCTGGGAAGCTGGATTTGTGTGGGGAGAACGTGATTGAGGTTATGTCAGCTGCCAGCTACCTGCAGATGAATGATGTGGTGAACTTCTGCAAGACCTACATCAGATCATCCCTTGATATCTGCAGAAAGATGGAGAAGGAGGCAGCCATGGCCGCAGCAGTGGCAGCAGCAGCCGCAGCAGCGGCAGCAGCAGCGGCAGCAGCAGCTCATCAAGTTGACAGTGGAAGTCCCAGTTCAGGCAGGGAAGGGACCTCCTGTGACACCAAGAGCGTGGTCTCTTCTTCAGCCGAGGGAGAGGAGAGTGTAGACTGTCCAAGAGAGTCCCCTTGTGGTGACTGCAGAGGCTGCCACCCCCTGGAACTGATGGTGAAGGACAACCAGGGCAGTGGCTTGGCGGACGGTGATCTCTGTCCTCCCCCCAAACAGATAAAGCCCCAGGTGGAGTCAGATGCAGAGGAAGTAGAGGTGGAGGTTGGGGAGCAGCTGCAGCAGTACGCTGCCCCGCTGAGCCTGACCCACGTGGAGGAGGGCTTGCCCAGTGGCCAGACTGTGGACTTGGCTTATAGTAACTTCCACGTGAAGCAATTCCTGGAGGCGCTCCTGCGCAGCAGTGCCGTCCAGAGCAAAGACGAGGTGGACCATCCCTTCTCCCGGAGCCTGGAGGGAAGGCCGGATGTTGCAGGGGTAGCCATGAGCTCTGTGCCAGATGTCCAGCCTGACTGGTATGGAGAGGACTCAGGTGAGCGCCAATGGCGTCCATCATTCTTCTGGTCACACAGCACTCATATCTGTGCCTGGCAGTCCCCCATCATCATCGGCACCGTTGTCACTACGATCCTCACCATCATCTCTGCCGCCACCATTACCCCGTGTTATCACTCCCACCACTACCCATAGATAGTCACTGAGTAGCCACTGCTATCCAGGCCTTGTCTCTTCCTCCTGTTTGATTTTTACCTCTACAACTCTGTTAAAATTGAGTGGTCCTATTTGGTCCAATTTGATAGGTTATTTTTGGACTATGGAAATGTTCAAAAATGGTCCATATCAATTAATGGTAGGGGCCTCCCCGGTGGCGCAGCGGTTGAGCGCTGGGTTGCAAAGCTGCCCGCAGCCTCTGCAGCACCGGTTTGATCCCCGGCTGCTCCCCGGCCACCGGAGGAGGGTCCCACATGGCGCAGACCTCTCCTGCCGCCCGCTGCTCCCCTCAGCAGTGTACTTCGGTCCTTCTGCCTGCTCTGCTCCCCGCTCTGGCTCTGGTGAATTCTCTTATCCTCCCATGCTTCTGACTGTACCCAGTGCTTGTATAAATAAATAAATAGATCTTTTAAAAAAATAAAATAAAATAAATTAATGGTAATTGTCTTCCCAGGCCTAAAATATAACCTGCCAAATCATACCAAATGGGACTATCCAACTTTCAGACAGCGGGGAAAACTTTATATGCATGTCGAGAGCAGTTTCTAGACATAGAAAAGATCCCACTATCTTCCATCAGCCAGTGTGGGACTTTGGGTCAAAAATTAGATCTCTTGGGACCTCTTTTGTTCAGGAAATTACTTTCCCCACCTGCCATTCTCTCAGGGTTGAGGAGCAAATGAAAAGGTTTTCAGAATTTTTTCTCACATATGATAGATAACATGTTCCATACAGGTAGGGAATTCATACTTCTTTGTGTCAGCCATGATGCTGGCACATAGTAGATGCTCAGTTAGCATGTCTTGGTCAATGATGCTTCTACTTGAGAATGTTGGAGTTGGCATGTGGCTTCATGTGAATAAATTTCTTACACCCTTTGGTATGCATGGTGTTTTAAGAGAATTTACTTGGTTGTTTCCCTGAGAGATAAATTGACATGGTTGTCAATTTACGACTGTGTCGTAAAGTGCCTTGGAGGAGATAGAAATAAAGTTGGCTGACTCCTTACTGGTAAACTTCTAGAGCCTCAAACCAAGAAATTAATATTACATTTCTAATTCACCCTTCAATATTCAGCAGCGAAAAGCTGAAATAAGGGCAATCAGCTGCTTTTATTCATGCTCTCTTGAAACCTTTAAAATTTCTTTTTTTAAAGCAATAACACTCTATATGTCTGATTAAACCTGGACTTGGAAAACTTAAAAATGCTGTGTCTGGTAGCAGACAGCTGCTGTGTGCATGAAAACACTCTGGAACTTACTGGCCTCTCAGTTCCATGTGCATAGTAGCCCTTCACAGGGCGGGACTACCCCTTCACATCCAAGAGACCCTCTTCATGCCCCATTTTAACAGAGGAAGTGTGGAGAAACTGAGCCCACAAGTGTTTAGTGAATTTCCTAAGGATGTAGACCGGGTAAGTGGACTAGATAAAACTAAAGCCCTGGGCCGGCTTCATTTCACTTATCCCACAAACTATAAAGTTATCGAAGTAGGTAGAGGGTTTCAGAGCAATGATTTTATCTTCAAGCCTTTCTGCCTGAAACCACTAGTCTCAAGAAATAATAATGCAGTGTAACACCACCTTCATTCCTGTCAGCCTGTAAAGTGAGGTTTCCACTTCATGGTGTGTGGCAAGGGCAGTCCTGGCCTTCACTGTGCCTGCTGTCTGCCAGGTTTGATTCCATTTACCCAGCTCCAGGGTAGATTTACCCCAAGTGCCAAGGCACAAAGTCAGATGAATTGGTCATTTATTATTTGCTCAAATATTTGATTACCTTCCTGGTAGAGATGTAAAGATAAGTTAGACATGGGGCCAACCCTCAATGAACTGCTCTCCTGTGCCAGAGAGGAGATCAGGCAGGTGTGCAAATGACATCACAGGCTAGAAAGGTACTAAGGCTAGAAGACAGATGGGGTGTGTTTCACCATAGTTCAGTTACACTGAAATGTGTAACTGGCTTCCTGCAGGGAGGTTGGGGAAGCTTTAGGAAAGTGGCAGCTAAGGGTAGGAAGAGGAGACTTAGGGACATTTTGATTGGAGTCAGACATGGAAGAAATTAGATGCTAGAGGTGTGGGTACTGGAGAATTTGGGGTAATTTCTGAGCTCGGGAGTGGACTGGATCTGTGCTTTAGGGTAACTGATTTGTCCTCAGCATAGGATGGTGTGGAGATGGGAGGCCAGGACGGGGAGACCCCCAGGAGACGGCTATGACCACTCCATATCCCTTTGCTCATCTGTGGCATTAGCTGGCACTGTCACAGCTTAAGGTCCTCCTGTCATTTCTCCCCTGCAGACCTCCCAACCCTCGCTCTAACACTTCTGTTGCTTACTGGAGTGTTCACCTACATTGGTGGCCTCTTAACTTCCCACTGTTTTCTCAGCCTGGTCAGGCTTTCACCCCTCCCCACCCCCACCTCCAACACACACACCACTGAAACCACTGTCAAGAGGCCAGCTCGATATTTCTAGAGCCTGTCCAATGAGTGGTTTTTAGGTGTTGCCTTACTTGACCTTTCTCAGTAGTCGACTTTGTTCTTTCTTTCCTTCTTGAAATTCTTTGTTACTCTGGCTGCTGATGCCACGAATACCCACTGCTCCTACCTTTGCCCATTCCTTTCCAGCCTCCTCATGGGGTCGTTCAGTGTCAGCATATCCAGCTTTCCATCACTGACTTGCTTCTTCAACATCCTGTCATTCCTGTTTGTTCCTTCCTTCCTTTAACAGATATTTATGGAGCATTTGCTGTATGTCAGGTATAGGCCAGGCGCTGTTCCTCACAGTGAACAAATGGAAGACCTTGTCCTCATGGGGTTGACATTCTAGCTTGAGGAGTCAGACAGTAAACAAACAAGTTACTATGTAGTGTGATGAACTAAAGCAGGGGAGAGGCTGGTAGAGAGTAAAGGGGACACTATTTTATTTAGTGTTGACAAGGAATGCCTTTCTAATAAGTTCCCTTTAGTAGAAACCTCAAGGCAGTAAAGAGAACCTGCTGTGCAGATATGAGGGAGAACATTCCAGATAGAGGAAAGAGCAAGGTGCAGAGGCCCAGGTGCAGGATCACATGTGACCTGTGGACAAAGGAGCAGCAAGGTGCTGTGTGACTGGAGTAAGTAAGCAAGCCAGAGAATGTTGGGGGATGAGGTCAGAGAGGTTGGGTGGAGCTGACCTTGAGGCAAGGCCGTGAGAGGGCCTTGGATATAACCGAAGAGGGAAACCTCTAGAGGGTCTAAGCAGAGAATGCCTTGAAGTGACATATATGAAAAGGATCCCTCTGGGATCTATGTGCAGTAACCTCCCAAGCATCCACCCTTGTTTGCCTGTAAACTATAGGGGAGCAGAGACTGTAGCGGAGCAAGGGTGGCAGCAGGAGGCGCACTTATGAGGTTACTGCAATAACCCAGGTGAGAGGTGTGCTCCTTGGTCAGCAAGTGGGCCCTAGAGAAGTGAGGTGTGGTTGGGTTAGTCCTAGATCATCTCTTGCAAGGGCAGGGCTGGCCAGATTTGCTGATCTCTTCTGTGAGTGCCCTGAGAAGACAAGGAGGTAGGAAGTCCCTAGGACGTACATTTGAGCAATTGATTTAAACATGATGTGTGTGACGCCTTTTGGGTTAGCCAGTGGAGATGCTAAACTATTGCATCTGTAGGTTTGGAGTTCTGGGGAGAAATCAGAGCTGAGATATATATTTGGGAGTCATTGATGAGTCCCACAGAATGTAAAATACCTGCATTCTATGAACTTCATAGATGTAGAGGAAGATGAGAGATCTAAGGGCTGAGCCCTGCAGGACACTGACATTTAGAGGCTAGGAGAACAGGGAGAAGCCTGAAAAGGAGACAGAAGGGACAGCCCACGAGGTGGGAGGACAATTGGGAAAGAGTGACGGATGCAAGAGGGGAGAGTGATTCAAGGAAAAGGGGAATCAACTGTGTCCAGTGCTGCGTATGGTCAGGTTGAGGACTGAGCTCTGGGTGGAGCAGCTGAGAGGTCGTCAGTGAGCTTGACAGGAGCAACACCGGTGATGTGGTGGTGACCAGAGTGAACAGCGTGGGTTTAAGAGAGAACGACAGAAACAGACATGAAGACCGCGAGCATAGAGGCTTCTTTCAAGGAGTTTTGCTCTGACAGCCACAGAGAAAGCTCTGCTGACTGAAGGAAGATAGGAGGTTGAGGTGTTTGTTAAGGTGGAGGATCCAAAAGCGTGTCTTCAGCCATCCCCAGTCCACTTTCTGCAGTTTCAGTTCCCCAGTTTCACTTTCCCTGGTTGCAGTTACCGATGGTCAACCACCCGCTGAAAATATGCACGTGAGATATTTTGAATGAGAGAGAGAGAGAGAGAGAGAGTATATGCACACAGTTTTTATTTCAGTAGAATGTAATTGTTTTGTTTCATTATTATTGTTGTCAATCTCTCACTGTGCCTAATTTGTAAATGAGCCTTTATCATAGGTATCTATAAAGAGAAAAAACGGTCTATATAGGTTATAAGAAAAATCTATATTTAGAGTTTGGAACTCTCTGTGGTTTCAGGATCCACTGGAACATGGATAAAGGGGGGAGTCCTGTATTTACTGATGGCAATGACCAAGAAGGAGGGGGTGAATTGGTGATGGAAAAGAGAGGGTAATTGAGAAAATGAGGGGTGGTGGTGTATGGAGAGGTTGGGGTATGGATGGAAAGAGGGACAATTTTTTTTTTAACATTTTTTCTTTTTTTAAGATTTATTTATTTATACACACACTGGGTACAGTCAGAAGTGCGGGAGGGTGAGAGGATTCACCAGAGCCAGAGCGGGGAGCAGAGCAGGCAGAAGGACCTAAGTACACTGCTGAGGGGAGCAGCGGGCGGCAGGAGAGGTCTGCGCGCCATGTGGGACCCTCCTCTGGTGGCCGGGGAGCAGCCGGGGATCAAACCGGCGCTGCAGAGGCTGCGGGCAGCTTCACAACTCAGCGCTCAACTGCTGCGCCACCGGGGAGGCCCCAAGAAGGACAATTTTTTCGTAGTAACAGGAGTCAATGTAGAGAACATGTGTTCCTGTGGGGGGCGGGGTGACTGGAACATACAGAGGTTCTCTTCTGGCTCCTCCTCAATGAAATAAGAAGCAAGGACAGCAGCTTCCTGAAAGCGAGGAGCGCCTTGGAGATTTGAGCAGAGGGAAGGTATAAAATAGTCGTGGAGAAGAGAGGGAGAGTGAATGAGCCAGGGAAGTATTTGGGGTGCCTGAGCAGCACCTAGCTTTTTTGATATTAGTGGTCAGATGGTGACTATAGACAGCTTCAGGTGAGACAAGAATACACGGGTGTGTGTGTTTCTCCGCGATGTTAACTTGCCATGTTTCAGCAGAGAGTTATGTTTAGTTGGAGCCTACATTTAGCCAGCTGGCTACAGATAGAGGGAACGAAGACCAAGGCAGGTGAGGATGTGCACGAAGAAATGACTTCGGGGATGGACTGTGGGCACTAAACTGGAAGAGGATGGCCAGTAAACTGGCTGGATAGCTTGTAGCTTGGAAGTCCCAGCAGAGGACACTTGAGGTCTTTTCTTTGGGAAGTGTACACAGTGCTTGAAACGTGGGTTATTGGGAAAATACAGTTATTGGCAATATCTAGGCAATATCAATCCTTATCCCTGACTGTACATTAGAATGGGAAGGGTGATTTGGAAATATGATGCCTGGGCCCTGCTTCACCCATTAGCTTAAGATGGGGATTAGACATCAGCATTTATTATAAATTTGGAGTTTTCCAGGTGATTCTGGGCTTGGTCCTTTCTATACATTTACCTGATATACAAGGCATGCTGAGTACTGTTGGTCTAGAATCAGGTGACTGAGGTTGACTAGAGTACAAGTTCTTTGGAGGAAAGAAGGTCAAGGAACAGAGAGGCCAGGTCAATGGAAGGGCCATTTTTGATATTCACAGCAAGAATTATGCCAAGAGTTGTGTTTTTTTTTTAAACATTATTTTTTTTTATAGAGGCATGTTTTTATTTCTTTCTTTATTTTATTTGTTTGTTTACACATGCACTGGGTACAGTCAGAAGCGCGGGAGGGTGAGAGAATTCACCAGAGCCAGAGCGGGGAGCAGAGCAGGCAGAAGGGCCGAAGTACACTGCTGAGGGGAGCAGCGGGCGGCAGGAGAGGTCTGCGCGCCATGTGGGACCCTCCTCCGGTGGCCGGGGAGCAACCGGGGATGGAACCGGCGCCGCAGAGGCCGCGGGCTGCTTTGCAACCCAGCGCTCAACCGCTGCGCCACTGGGGAGGCCCCAAGAGTTGTGTTTGAAAGCTGTGATCATCTCTCCAAGGAGGGATCGGACGACCAAGGATGACTGTAACAGGATGAGCAGCAATGGTTCATCTGATGGTCCGAGCTTCTAAAGATCTTAAGGTTTTTAAGGAAGACAGGAAACAGTGGCCTTGAGATGACAATGAAACACATGACGAACCCTGTCCTTCTCTGACCGAGGGGCTTCAGGGAATGGGATAAAGGAAGAGGGTGCGTGGCAGAGAGCCAGGTTTCTGGTAAAGCAACCATTCCTATCTTCTGAGAACTCTCCAATCTTCCCTTCTTTCTTTGAGCTCAACCTTTGTCTCTCTAACCCTGATATTCCCCATGGGTGCGCTAGGCCTGCCTTCAAGCCAGTGAAATCTGACTTGAACTCTTCATTCTTTCTGTACCTGCTTTTCCTCCTGTGTTCCTTGCCTCAGGTTTTTTGGTTTTTTTTTTTTAGGTTTTTTTTTTAGATTTCATTTATTTATGCATACAAGAGCTGGGGTACAGGCCAGAGGTGTGGGAGGCGAGAGGATTCACCAGAGACAGAGCAGGGAGCAGAACAGGCAGACTGACTGAAATACACTGTTGAGGGTAGCAGTGGGCGAGACAGGAGAGGTCTGCTGTGCCATGTGGGTTGCTCCCTGCCCAGGCATCGAACTCATGCTACAGAGGCTGTGGACAGCTTCATAGGTTGTGTCTTAACCCCTTGTGCCACCAGGGAGGCGCTCCTTGCCTCAGTTTATTCATCATTATCCACAAGTCAGGTAATCCAGAATTTGTGTCATTTAGAATCTTCTCTTTGCCTTCTCTTCCCTCCCCCATGTGGTTGATGTGGTTTTTGGAGTGCTGGATTTGGAGTGTGGGGTCCTTGGGTTCACTCGGGGAAAGTTTTCACCAGAGCTCCCCTTTCAGCGACACGCTGTGAGTTTCCCAGGTGAGTTTCTCCATGAGACAGAGACGTTAGTTATATTTAAAGAGCAGGTTTATAGGGAAAGGGACAGAAGAGTAAAAGATACTTGCATAGACACAAGTGGGCAGGAAAGGCTGCCCTAGAAGGGACAGGTTTGCTAAGAGAGGCCTGCATGGTTGCAGGTGAGTGGCCCTGAGAAGAGCTGCCTCCACTGAGGGTGGTCAGTGAAGAGAAGTCCCTGCTTGGTACAAGTCGTGGGCAGCCAGAAAGCTGCTGCCTGCAGAAGGAGAGGGTTGGTAAACAGAGGCACCTGCATAGTCACAGGTAGGCAGTGGGAGTGCTGCCCTGAGCCTGTGCAGAGACTGTAATGATATAGTCCTCTTCTGCTTGGCAGGGGTCACTCCTTGTGAGCCTTCGGTTAGTTGCTGATTTTGGGTAACCATGAAGAATCCAAAAGGGACGGGAGATTCCAGGATGGGCCCAATCTCTATATCTTTACCCTCAGGCCTGTGCTCCACTCTCTATTGCAGTCTGATCCTGCTTAGGTCTCATGCCTTGTGATAAGGCACTGGTGCCCAAGAGTCACAATCTCTACAGCTGGGTTAATGGTCATGTTATTCCCCTCAACCCCCACCTCCTTGTGAGTCAGGTTCTGGTCTTGGGGCACCTCCTTTCCAGTCTTTCTATTCTTTTTTTTTTAAAGATTTATTTATTTATGCATACAAGAGCTGGGGTACAGGCCAGAGATGCGGGGGGTGAGAGGATTCACCTGAGACAGAGCGGGGAACAGAACAGGCAGACTGACCGAAACACAATGCTAACGGGAGCAGCGGGTGAGACAGGAGAGGTCTGCCTCGCCATGAGGGTTGCTCCCTGGCCGGCCGGGGGATCGAACTCGTGCTGCCGAGGCTGCGGATTGCTTCATAGTGTGGTGCTTAACCCTTTGCGCCACCAGGGAGGCCCAGTCTTTCTATTCTTGTCCTCCCTCATGGTCATCAAGTAATACTAATTTTACATCTCCTCTCCCACCTCCCTGATCATTTCAGTTTGTGTCGTCATCTCTCATCTCCTCGCCCTGGACTTCCTGCCTTTAATCTTCTTTAATCTTGCCTCTCTTAAGTCCTTCCTGTATTGTCCCGAGAGGGTCTTTTAAATGTCATATCTGACCACATACTCTTCCTCCCCCCACGCCCCGCTGCCGTTCCCCCCCCCACACACACTGCTTAAAATCTTAGCTGTTTGCAGAATCGTTTCCAAGTTCCTGTAAGATTTAATGTTGAGGAAGGTACAGTTGTCTTGGTAAAGACAGACCTTGTCACAGTGCCTGGTGTAGCTTATGTGGTCTAGTAAACTGTGGTATTGGGGGAGTTAGGTCACAGGATTGACATGGCCCAGAGCTGATGAGAGGCTGATTTTTGCCTCCTGATATCCACAGCAAGGAGCTGCTAGGAATCAGCTGGGGCGGAATTGATTGTTAGCCTGTAAGAGGGAGCAAAGCACCTGAGCTCTCACCTTTTCTAGGAGCTGCTGTGGAAAGCATCTGCCCAGTTGGCCTTTGCTGCCCCTCCCCCACCAGGTAAGGGGGAGCTTTGGCCTCAGCAGCCACACTCCTCTGCTGCACCCAACCAGTTCCTGTAGCTGCAACTCCTCCTTGAACCATCAGTCAGCAACCGGACCTCCTTGCAGCCTCTCTACCCTGCTAGTTGTCTAGAATAAATTGTTTTCTTTTTCTTTTTCTGCACCAAAGAAAGAACTTCATGTTTGCATGCGTGGCACCAGGTGGCCAGACCTAGAGTTGGTGAGAGTGTTCTGACTTGGTGACAATTTCTGGGTCCTTTGCAATAGGGCCTAGATGAAAACAGAAGGAAAGTGTTGTGATAACTCATACTTTGCTGATGGAGAACTAGTTAGCAGTTGGTTTTTCCAAGGACTAATTTTATTTAACTAATTTACTTAACTCCAAGGGCCCATTTTCCTTAATGGTTTTGTAGATAATCAGAAAGTTTAGGTGCCTTAAAGTATTCTTGCAACCTTATATCAGAAGCCCGCTTTGCTGATTGGGCACAGACAGAGTTGAAATTTGTAGACAATATCTTGCTGATGGCTGTTGATAGAACTGTGCCCCCCCTCTCTACCTGTGCCAGTGGAACCCCCAACTTCCGGATCTCACCTATTGGATGGTGGCCAGTGCGGTTGCTACTTATGGTACCTAAATCAATCCATTTGGTTCCCCAGGTGATGTGCTGGTGGTCCCCATTAAGCTCCACAAGTGTCCTTTCTGCCCTTACACTGCCAAACAGAAGGGCATCCTTAAGCGGCACATCCGCTCACACACGGGCGAGCGGCCCTACCCCTGTGAGACCTGTGGCAAGAGGTTCACTCGACAGGAGCACCTGCGGAGCCACGCCCTGAGCGTAAGTGTGTGCTGGCACGTCTCGCACAGCTTGGGGTGGGGGTTGAAGCTGGGGGCGGGGGTTGGCTGTGACATTTGTCTACTGTAAGGTAAAGTCAGCTGCACCCAGCCAGAGTGGGAAAAAATATTTTCAAATCATTTATCTGCCATGGGCCTAGCACCCAGAATATATAAAGGACTCTGGCAATTCAACAATAAAACGACAAATAACCCAATTAAACAGTGGAGTAGACATTCCTCCAAAGAAAATACACAATTCAGCAAACACATGAAAGAATGCTCACCCACAGCAGTCATTCCGAAAATGCAACTCAAAGCCCCGTGAAATGCCACCTTACACACGCTGCGGTGGCCTCCACCAAGTAATGAATCATAATAGTGTTGGTGAGGATGTGGAGCAACCGGAACCTTCGTACATTGCTGGTGCAGCCACTGTGACCAGCAGTTTTGCGGTTCCTCAAAAAGGTAAGCCTGAAGCTACAATGGACCCAGCAGTTCTACTTTGAGGTATACAACCAAAGGAACTGAATGTAGAGAGGCCTGCCACAGCTGGCCCACAGGCGTTCACGCCAGCATAATTCATGGTGACCAAAAAGTGGAAGCAACCCAAATGTCCATCTGCTGATAAACAAAGAAAATATGGGGGGCCTCCCTGGTAGTGTAGGGGTTAAGTCTCAACCCTATCATGCTATTGCTGCTATGGCATGAGTTCAATCCCCGGCCAGGGAGCTACCCACATGGTGCAGCAGACCTGTCCTGCCTCGCCCGCTGCTCCCCTCAGCAGTGTATTTCAGTAGATCTGCCTGTTCTGCTCCCCATTCTATCTCTGGTGAATCCTCTCACCCCCCTCACACATCTGGCCTATACCCCAGCTCTTGTATGCATACATAAATAATCTTTTAAAAAATAACAAAAACAAAGAAAATATGGTTTATACATGGAATGGGGAACAACATGGAGGAAACTTGAGAACATTACTCTAAGTGAAGAAAGGAGTCACAAAAACCTACATAGTATACGATTCCACTTATATGAAATGTAAAAATGGGCAGACCCATGGAGATAGAGTACATTAGTGGTTCCAGGGGCTGGAGGTAGTGGGGCTGGGAGAAGGAGGACTATTAATAGGTACAGGTGAGACAGCCTATGTAAAAAAATTACAAGCCAGTAAGATAAGAATTGCCCAGTGTCCTGTTTGACTAGGGGAATTAAATCGCAGACTGAGTTACCCAATGTCCTGTTTGAACAGGTGATCTAAGTCACTGACTGGTGGTCCCTACCCTAATATCCTATACAGACTATATTAGGGTAGACCAGGTGGACCAAAGATGCCATCTGGACAAAAGATGTTAGGTCCTGACTAGTAACTGCCTTACAATTTCCTGGAGGGGAAGGCAGAGAGCCCCACCAGTTTGCGTATACCCTGGCATAACCCCCCCCTAGAACAATGACACTGCTCCCCTCTGCTCTGCCTAACTTTTGGGGAGCTATAGCTGGAATTTTCTCTTCTGCTCTTGTTTTCCTTATACTCATGTGTCAGCAAGTTGCGTGGTTTAGCTGAAACTCTAGTGAATTCCTCCTCTTAGAAGGCCTAGAGGGCCTCTGGACCCACACATTTTGGGGGGTTGTAACACAGGGTTTCTTTATGGGGGGATGAAAATGTGTTGGAAGGTAGTCATTGATGAACAACCTTGTGAATATACTAAAACCCACTGAATTGTACACCTTAAAAGGGTGAATTTTATGATATGTGAATTATGGTTTTGAAAGAATCCAGATTAAGTACAAGGTTACTGACTGCCTGTGTCAGTGCTGGCCCCAGCACACTTATCTGAGAACGACCTCACCCCATGGTCTAACTTTTTGTTTATATTCCTTTTTTTTTAAATTACAAATGATAACTGCACTCTGCCTTGGCAGCCATATGTTCCTGGGTGCCCATAAGATGTTTCATTGGATGGAATTCTCATTTCCTCTATCTGTCCATGATATTCAAGGCTCAGTTTTCTGCAGCTTGTAGAGATTGTATTCAAAGGCCCTTGCAGGGTCAAGGGTCATTGATTTATGTGTTGGGGGTTTAGCATTGGAAGCTCAGGAAACCTCATGGAAAGCAGGAACATTGGCCAGGATGTAACTCCAGCAACTGGGAATGTCTCCTGCAGCAGCTTCTTTCATCTCTGCCTCTTGTGTGCATCCTGTATCCAGAGCTCTGTAAAAGAGAGGCTCTGATTGGTTCAGACACATTAGAAAGCATTCCTTCTACAGAGGGTACCCTGGGGCTGCTGCCCTTCAGGAGAAGCTATTTGGAGGTAGGAGATCAGATTCTCTCTTTAGTATACAGACCTCTTCTCATAAGTAAGGAATGCATTCATCATCAAATAATTTTAGGGTGAAGCAGCTGCAGGACACCTGAGGAATATCTTGCAAATCTGCCTTGCTAAGAACTAACCTGTCCCAAGGTATATAAAAGCCATGCCCAAATCCTATTCAGTTCACTGAGTGCCTGGATATGCCGGGCACTAGGGATATAAGCAAGAAATGCAGCAAAGGACAGAGAATGTGAATGAGGACAGTGCCTGTCCTCTTAGAGCTTACATTCTAGTGAATTTTACCAATGATTTGCTAGCTACAACAAAGGAAGAAGTATAAGTAAGAATATATAACTGGGCAGAAACACCAGAGAAGACTTGCTCGAAAGGCTCATTAGTGGGGCCTCCCTGGTGGCGCAAGGGTTAAGATGCAACCTATGGGGCCTCCCCGGTGGCGCAGCGGTTGAGCGCTGGGTTGCGAAGCAGCCCGCGGCCTCTGCGGCACCGGTTCGATCCCCAGCTGCTCCCCGGCCACCAGAGGAGGGTCCCACATGGCACGCAGACCTCTCCTGCCGCCCGCTGCTCCCCTCAGCAGAGTGCTTTGGTCCTTCTGCCTGCTCTGCTCCCCGCTCTGGCTCTGGTGAATTCTCTCACCCTCCCGCGCTTCTGACTGTACCCAGTGCATGTACAAACAAACGAACAAACAAACAAACAAACAAACAAACAAATAAATAAATAAAACATGCCTCTATTAAAAAAAAAATTAAAAAAAAAAATAAGATGCAACCTTTGAAGCTCTCCGCAGCCACTGCAGCACGAGTTCGATTCCCGGCCAGCCAGGGAGCAACCCACATGCAGCAGACCTCTCCTGACTCACCCGCTGCTCCCCTCAGCAGTGTATTTCAGTCAATCTGCCTGTTCTGTTCCCCACTCTGTCTCTGGTGAATCTTCTCACCCCCCCCCACTCCTCTGGCCTGTACCCCAACTCTTGTATGCATAAATAAATAAATCTTTTTTTTAAAATAGAAAGGCTCATTAGTAAGTGGGGGGAAGCTCATTAGTCACACACCCAGTGGCTGACCTGGAGGGGAAAGGACTTGGCCAGGTTGAGACTGTGGCAGAGAGAGCAGTGGGGAGAGTGGGGAGAAATGAGGCTGGAGGGTCCACAAGGGCCCTGATCCCCTGGGGCCTTGCGGGCCAGGATTCACCCCCTTTTCTGTGATATTTACGGTGTCTGCTTGTGATTTTAGGTCCACAGATCTAATCGGCCCATCATCTGCAAGGGCTGCAGAAGAACCTTCACCAGTCACCTGTCCCAGGGGCTGCGGCGCTTCGGGCTGTGTGACAGCTGCACCTGCGTGACAGACACACAGGATGATGATGACGACTTGATGCCCATCAACCTCAGCCTGGGGGAGGCTTCATCGGAAAGCCAAGAGAAGAGTGACATGGACAATGACTGGCCAATCTATGTGGAGTCTGGTGAGGAAAACGACCCCGCTGGAGAGGACTCTGATGACAGGCCACAAATTCGGCCCAGCTTATCAGAAACTCTTACGTAGCAGTACATCGGTGGGGAAGAGGTCTTAGAATCTGCTGCTGCTCTTTCTGTGGTTGAAAGCTACCATTGTCCACTTCTGTCGAACCCTGACAGGGACATTTTTTTCACTGTTGATATATTTTCGTTTTTGTAAGTCCTCCAGTTGCGGAAACTGCCACTTTAAGTGAAACCACTTACAGCAAAAGCAGGACCTGGAATAATACGGATTTCTTCAGCTTTGGCTGGTGATGGTTTTTTCTTGGCTATGTCATGTAATGGATCAATGTTGAACAAAACTATGTTATCCCAGGACCTGCTCTATGTGGTAGAGGTTGGATTTTGTGAATCAAAGAACTAATGACTTTTTGGTGCCATGCCCTTGATTTCTGAGGGCTCTGCTGACCCTCCTTAATTCTGAGTGAATCAAGGCTGCCCTAAGGGCTTCCTGTTTTTCTGTTTTGCATCCAAACTCTAGTTAGGAGAAAGATTTCATATCGTCTCAGTCCTGTGCTTTCCTCTATCATCATTACCTTTCTCTGAAAAGGTAGACATGAATATATTAAGTTTTGAGATCCATCCTTTGCCAAGCCTCTCCTAATGAATCCCATATTTTAATTCTCTGGTGAAATGTTAAAGAGAAAGCGTCATTGACATAAGGCAGGCAGGACTGTCTGACCACATCATTGGAAAAGGTGCTTTCTAGATCTAAGACCACAGTTCTAAAGACTGGGGGTACTGATATTCGACAAGCATGAAAATGAGCTGAAGGAAGGCTCCTTATGGTCCTTTGACTTGCCCTGTTGAATTAAATTTCAAGGTAGGCCTGGGAAGGGAACCTGTAAGCCCAGCTCTGGGTGACTTCCCTGTCTGGTTTGGTATGTGACCATTCTGTTTTGTGATCATAAAACAACTCATTTGGGCAGAACTCAAAATTTTCCCTCCTTTTTCTATCTGATTCCAACCATCACTGCTATATAACCTGGAAATGTAGCTGTCACTGACATTCTTTTCCTTAGGTTATGAATAGAACTTTAATTAGAGGGAAAGCATAAGCCCATAAAAAGAAATTATACTTCTAAATTGTTTACGTTTATCTTAAAAAGATCCTCTGCAGGGAAAGAACTTCGTAGAACAGATTTTTAAAACTAATTTGCTTTTTCCCTGTTTAGGAGCCAGCAATTATTATGTTTTTATTATTTTTTATTTTTTGTGGGACCCTTGCCTGCGGCTGGGAACGAACCAGCGCTGCAGAGGCTGCGGGCAGCCTCTCAGTCCAGCGCTCAACCGCTGCACCACCAGGGGAGGCCCGCCAGCAATTATTCTAACAAAACAGGCTGCATTTCTTTAAAGAGCTAAAGGGCAGGAAATAATAGGGTTTAAAGATATTTAAGGCACTTCCATAATTTTGTCTTAAAGTATCCAAAATGGATTTTAAAAGAAATTCCTTTTTCTTTAATTTGGGTATAGTTGTGCTTCAAAGGGTGGTAAAATCACCTTTCTGCTGCTTCAACAAAAGAGAAAATAAAAAAATTATAAATTGCCTTGTCAATGCTAGTCGTTGAAGAGGTCAGCAGATGTTTAAACTGTTTTTCTCAATAGTAGTTAGAAAGTATAATAGTGCTCTTCAAACTGTGGCGCAGGTGTGAATTCATGTGTGAATTCTTTGGTACCGCTTCACACAGTAGGGCCACGTAGCCACCTGCAGTAGGAAATGTAAAGGTTGGTCTGTTAACTGCAGACGGTGTGAAAATTATTGTTCTAGATCAAGACTTACAAATTGGGAATGATCAAGGACCAGAACCTTTTCTTACCCAAAATGAAAATATTAGATATTGTCTTAAAAGAGAGATCTTAGTAAAAGGGAAACTTAAATGATATACTTTGCAAGGAGTTATGTTTGATATTCTTGCTCTAAGTTATTTTTGATATTTTAGTATGACCTTTCTACCTCGTAGTTCAATGTCTCCACCTACTTTCTCTGGAGCAGTGCTTGTCTTCAGTGGCCCATGACCTATTCATGTCACTGGGTGCAAAGAAAAATCATTTATGTTAGAGATTTTACTGTAAGATAGTGATTCTCAACTGGGGGTGATTTTGCCTGAAGACATTTGGCAATGTCTAGAGTCATTCTCAGTTGTTACAAGGTGGGGCAGGGTGCTGCAGGCAGCCGGTGGAGAGAGGCAAAAGATGCCATTTTAGCGTCCCTACAATGCATAGGGGGGCACCTTAATGCATGAGGGTCCCCTTCAATGCATAGGGGAGCCCCTTACGCCTAGGTATCATCTAATCTAAAATAGCACAAGTACCCAGGTAGAAAAACCCTGCTGTAAGATAAAGTAGGATTTAAAAAATGATCTTTAATTTTTTAAACTTAATTTTGTGTTATATTCTAGGCTGCCTTTTACCTTCATAATAATAGTCTTTTACGCTTCCACAAGTTTTCAAAAATAGTGAACTAGTAAAATGGGGAGTTAAGGCCAAATTGTTTGCAAGTTGCCCCATATCTGATTAGATCTATGATGTGATAACTTGGAAATTCTGACTCAGATTCATACCCTCAGAAGCATTACTAGGGTCTGATTATTTTATTAAATTGTAAGGTAGCAGAATCATTGGGAGGAAATGGAATGTGAAACAATACTTAAATGACCCCTTTCCTTCCATGGTGTCTCAGACTGTTGCATCCCTGCTTGGCTAGAGTTTGTGTTTTGGCATTCCGATGGCTGAATTCCATTACTTTAAAAGAAGCACTTCCTTTGTCTGGACTATTAGACCATAAACTGTCCTTTGTTTTAAATTTATGTTCACATTTGGTGGTCATTGTCTTTGAGGTTTAATTTGTGGAGTTGGTGATATTTTTATAATAGGTAAGTTCACAGACCATTAATGATTTAGTTTATAATCTGGCATCTTCCTGGCACATTCGGTCCAAGTTCACAAAAGGGATACTTTTGTCTTATATTAGATATATTGCATGGATGGGAACAGGATTCCTACTTATAACGGAATTTAAAAATGGCATCCTTGTTTATCTTGGGGCTTGGGTTAGGAAGGAATGTAAATAAGGTCTGTAATTGTAATAAGTTAGGAAATGACATAGAGCATCATGACTTCTAGTCATTTGACAGAAAGATGCCATTCTGTTGTAAATATTTTGGTGGTCACTAGATTTTGAATATTCCTTAAGAAAGCTACTGACCTAGTGGTCTGCAACATGTTGTGGAATTGCGTATTCTGGAGGTTCAGAAATCTGTGATGGCTTTTTGTTGGTGTTGTCATTAATTGATGTTGTGATTAACCCCCTCAGAGAGAAGGTCACAGGTAGGGCTGCATGTGCTGGCTCTGAGGACAGGGGGTGAAGACTAGAGCAGCCGTCGGTCTACTGAACTCAGACTGTTTCATTTGGCCTTCTAGGTTTTTCTTGTGTATCCCTTGTGCATCGACAACAGAGTTATTTTGTGACTCTAGTGTAACGGGGTGGGGAGGGACATAAATTTAGGGTTTAGGGTGGGTGAGAAGTTCCTTTTACACTGTTTTGAGTATCACCACTATTTTGCTGTCAGTTGTTGCTGGTCTCTTATAGCTTGCCTGGTGCTTTCACATGTTCACACTCTCTCTTAACCCCAAAACGGGGACACTTGACTCAGTTGCTTATGGGGTTCGGTGTTTGCATTGATTTTTTGCTCCATATTTCCATCAAATATTGTTGTGTTCCTCAAGCCCTTCATGACTCTGAACATTTGGATTCTTTTCTTCAACTAATGTTTTTGTAAAGATAAATGAGAAGTTTTCTGTTTGGCAGGTTTGGTTTGGTTGCTTTCCAACATGTCCTGGTTTTAATAGGTGACACTCACACCATAGTGATCAGATGATAGGGAATCCTCAAAACTTCTGGAGAGCTTTCAGCATCTCCTTAGCCCTCCAGATAAATCGTTTTCCTACTGCCAGTTCTTCATTGACAACTGTGGTTTGGGGGAGCAGTTTTTATTTGATTTGATTTTTGCATCATTTGATTTTTGCATCTTCATCAGTAATGTACTAAAAATCAGTGGACTTAGGGAGGGGATTATAAAGAAGTTGTGGCAATAACAAGCTTGCAGATTTTAAGGGAAGGTTTTCATTTGAGATATGTGTCTTGGTGATGTGTTATGAGCAGACAGTGAAGGGCTTGATCAGGGTTGTTTTGGAAGCAGAAGAGCATGCCAGACAGCTTTCTGTCTTTCTACTGGGGAGCATCTCGGACCAGGAGCAGATAGTATTGCAGCACTGTCCAGCGGTCTACTTAGGCACAGCTGAGTGTTCAAAGACATGCAGACTCATGAACTCCCACACTTGGCATCAGATTCACTTAGAAGGACCTAGAATGGGAAGTACAGCTTGGCAGATCCTGCTCTTCCATCAAAGTCTCCGTAGCTAGCTGCCCATGGGGCATGGTTCGGGTGCAAGTAGATATGGAACCTGTCTGTTGCCCTACAGGAAATGTTATGGTAGAATTCCATTAGGGAACCAGGTATCAGAGAGGAGGAGGGAAGGTCTTTATTTGCGCTGGTGGGCCCAGAGGAGATCTTTCTCCAAAGTCTGAGTCCAAAGGAGGTAGGTAACCGTATTTATTGCCTTAGTAGGGGTACATTTGCACCTTAAAGCAAGCAGGGAGTACAGAAGCAGGAGATTCCTAAGCAGTTATCTGTGGTGCTCAAGTCAGGCCTGTCGGCCTTCAGAACGTTTATCAGTTATTCCCCGGTACTTTCATTCTACATTCAGGCTTTGTCTCAACAGAACTTCAGTTAATTAAATAGGCCAGTCCGTCATTGTCTTGTACAGAACAAGTGTCATGACGACACCATAGGTGTAGCTCCTAGGGTTCCTGAAAGAGACATGTATGTTCCAACAGTCACTGTACTCAGGGAAACCCAGCTTTTCGGCTTCCTATCAGGTATTTATAGTTTTCCAAGTCCAGATGCAGTTTACCAATTAGGGGTCATGTCTACCATATATAATGTTGCCTAGCAACATAGTTGACATTATTACTCTTTATTAGGTTGTCAAGGGAACCGAGCTAGAAAGTTAACCAAAGGTCAAAATCTCACACAAAGGGGGAAAGGTTCCATTAGTCCTTTATCAAACAGCATGCTGAGCAGTTGCACAATGGAGATTTCACCCACTCCTATAAAATATTGCCAGAGGAATTTCCAATTAAAATAAAACTAACACCAGGCCTCCCTGGTGGTGCAGGGGTTAAAGTCTCAGTGCTGTCAAGCAATCACCAGCCACTGTGGCATGAGTTCGATCCCCACCAGGGAGCTGACCCACATGGTGCAGCAGACCTCTCCTGTTTCACCTGCTGCTCTCCTCAGATTTCAGTAGATCCACCTGTTCTGCTCCCCACTCTGTCTCTGATGAATCCTCTCACCAACATCCCCCACCCCTGCACCTGTAGCCTATACCCTAATTCTTTTTTTTTAAGATTTATTTATTTATACAACAACTGGGGTATAGGCCAGAAGTGTGGGAGGGTGACAGGATTCACCAGAGACAGAGCGGGTAGCAGAACAGGCAGACGGACCGAAAACACTGCTGAGGGGAGCAGCGGGCGAGACAGGAGAGGTGTGCCACACCTCTGCCACAGGAGAGGTCTGGGTATCTCCCTGGCCAGCTGGGGATCGAACCGCTGCTGCAGGTTGCGGACAGCTTCACAGCACCGCACTCAACCCGCTGTGCCACCGGGGAGGCCCTATACCCTAATTCTTGTATGCATGAAATAAATTTTGAAAAAAGAGTAGATTAAAAAATAAAAATAATAAAATAGAACCAACACCAACTCACTTTTCCTCTTTTGAAGAGTATCTATTCTTTGTGCTTACTTGAATATGATTAATATACTGTATAAGAGCTGAATATTCAAACTGGTCCCATTAAAACGTCATGTATCCTTTGGTGCTACTTATAGTAGGCATGTATAATATGACACAGGCTAGGGACAACGTTGAGTGGAAATCTCTGGGGATTTCATCAATTGTATTTTGATGGGATCTATTCCACCTGGCAACCACCAAACACTCGACTTTTGGTTAAGATGCCTCTTACTGCTGTGTTATGGTGTGCTACTCTTGCTATCTCTGTTGCTTCTGTCTGGCAGACCACTGAGTGAAGATAGCTGGTTATTTGTTCAACTGTTATCCAACAATTATTTATGAAGTCTTTTCTATATGCCAGAAACCAGGAGTACATCATTTAACAAGCACAATCTCTGCCCTCAAGGAACTTGCAGTGTGTAATCAGGGAGATTAGTAATTAGGCAGTTACAACACAGTTTTGGGGTGGCAGTACCATCAAGGACAGATAGTAAGAGTGATTAAGCAGAGCACCTAGCCCCATCTAAGAGCCTCAGAGACTATCTTGTCCAAGTTATTGTTACTGTGTTT